AGGGTCAGCCTTAGTATGTAACTATGAAACACACATGAAATACACATATCCTATACTAAATTGAGACAACAGTGCCAGAAACACACTTTGACTTACATACCTCCTTCCAGGTTCAGCCTCTTATGTCACTTAGTTCCTTTCCTAAGAATCTAAGATCTATGACTAGATCAAGGCTATGATCCTCCCAAATAAAGTTCTCATGCTGTGAGCATGACCTGCCTCAAGTCATTAGATATTGCCAATGCTATTTTCCTTAGAGGGCATAATAATTTCACAAGTAAGGACAATGTTTTAGAACCTCGTTTTTAATAAAACTTCATTTATTCTACCACTAGTATAACAAAACACAACCTATAAGCCTAAGCCAGGTTTAAAATTATTTAGACATATTTTCATACCTTCTTGTTGAAAGAATATTTTCACCAAATGACTTTAAATCCACAGGAAAGAAAGCATATTCAGTTCTGCATTGTGAGACCTGTGGATAAGCATTCAACTTCATCACCCCATTTCTTTGTCCCGTTTTCACACCCTGCAGCCTCTTCTGCATATGACCAGAGATACAACTATTGATGGGTCACATACTCTGTCATTTCTCTACCCCAAAATGTAGTCAGTCCCAAAGTTGAGGAATTTGTTTACATTTTGACTTCACTAGTATTAAAATGCTAATATTTCATTAGTTTAATTCAAACTGAATAACCTCTAACAGAATAAGTCAAGATTAGCATGAAGAGTGCTCCAGAACCTACAAGTACCAAGATTATACCTTTAGTGATGCACAAAAGCCATGAACTTGAAGTGTTTAATCTTTTTCCTACAGAAAGTCATTTCAATACTTTAAGCAGGAGAAAAAAGTTCAGATTCACCACCTCCAAAAGAATTATTCCTCCTCACTTAGTGCATGACAGTTCTGACTCATAGACATAAATGTATTCAATTCTAGTCCATTTTACTAGCTTTAAATATCATGCACCAAGTACTAAGCTTTTGGACATAGTCACAATTAAAAGAGTTTTAAAGGAAAACAAGCCAATATGCAAATACATTTTCCAAGGAGTATCACCAGGAATAACTTAAAAGCCTCATCTAATTGCCACAATTAAATTATCACATCAAAGGTGAACCCACCTGCAATTAAGTCATCAACTGAAAGCCCATGTCATCTATCCCATTGTTTGCTAAGATTGTTTGAATATTTAAAGTTAAAACATATACAGCTGTGATTTCCTTGTCATTATTCCTCATATATGGAAGTCATCAACAAAGATCTATTGAAGAAATGCAACAAGAACTAATTTTCAGTCAAGCATGGTGGCACACACTTGTAATTCCAGTGACTCAGGAGGCTGAGGCAGGAGGATCACAAATTTAAGGCCACTCTCAGCAACTTACAGGGACCCTGTCTCAAAATAAAAAATAAAAAAAGGTGCCTACAGATATAGCTCAGTTGATAGAGTGCTTGCCCAGGGTTCAATCCCCAGCACCACAAAAAAAAAAAGAAGAAGAAGAAGAAAGAAAGAAAAAAGGGGCTGGAGTTGTGGCTCAGTGTTAGAGCACTCAACTGGCACAAGTGAGACACTGGGTATGATCCTCAGCACCACATAAAAAAAATAAATAAAGTAAATGTATGTCTCCATTTACAAGTAAAGAAAAAAAATATTAAAAACCAAACCCAAAAAACTAATTTTCACATTATTTGCATAACATGATAAAAAAAACTAATAAGGTAGACACTGTTATTCATTCTTCTTTTCCGTTTTCTTTCCTTCAAGGACGCCCGACATATAGCTGAACATGTGGCAGTTTGAAATAGACCATTTCCCAGCTTTCCTTGCAGCTAGATGTAACCACATCACTAACCTCCAGCCAACAGGATGGAAGTATAAGTGTCCTATGGCAGCTTCCAAAAATCTTTAAGACCACTGGTACTTTCTCTTTGCTCCCTCCTTCTTTGTCCATTCTTTAATAGAATATAGTTAGGATAGTTGGGGTTCAGTCACCATCCTGGCCTAGGAAAATGAGTGCCATATCCTGGCTATGGCAGCGTAGTGAGCTATAAGGGCCCTAGATCCCCAAACTTCATGGAAAAGAGCACTTCCATCAGTCCTTGGACCCTGGGATTTTCTATTAAGGGAGAAGTAAACCTTTCTTTTGCCATTGACATTGGGCTTTTCACAAAATACCAGCTTTCTTTGGATAAAGGAAGAAGGCAGTTTCATAAATGGCAGGTTTTTATAGACCTATACTGTGTAGCCACATCTCTCTCAGGAGGAGGTATTATATCTTTTGAAGTAATTATCCTAACACTTATGACAGATGCAGCTGCTCTATCCTAGGAATCAGAGAACTGAGGCTGGAGTTGTATCTCTGTCATTAACTGGCAAATCAGTTAACTTCTCTAATCCTATCTCTTTATCCATTAAATTGGGATAGCACCATCTATGTAATAAGATTCTCTTGAGATTTAAAATATAACATATGAAAGTGTTCCAGAGTATAAATCACTATACACATAACTGTTGGTGAGAATAATTGTAAGATTCCTGTGAAGAGAAGCTATCTTACACTATATTCTCAGTAATAAGTGCTCAATAAATATTTATTGAATAAATATTGTAAGTCCCTGTTAATGAGTAAATTATTCTGCTTTCCTGAAGTTCAAAAGTCCTTTCTGCTATTTAAAGTATTATTCGAGTTCCTAACAGACATAATTCTTCATTTGATGTCAATCAAAAGATACAAGGGTGTGAAGAAAAAAAGCCTTACCTAATCCATTTTTCTGGTTCAAAAGTGGATCCCTACTTATTATACCAAAATCAACTACAAGAAAAACTGTGGTACAGAAATGAAACTTTTATGACCCTTTCCCCCTGAAATTACAAAGTTACACACAAAAATATTCTGTAATATTTAAGTTACTAAACCTACCACATCAAACGAAGGATTTCCTCACACTGGACTGTAGCTAAAGCATTTTATTAAATTAAGTGTGAAATTTGCAAATGGTTTCATAAGAAATTTTAAAAGCAAAGTTATAAACATTTTCAATAAAAAAGTACAGAGTTAACAGCAAAATTACATTTTCTTTATAGTACAAATAAAAACATTTTGTTTCTGATATACCATCTGAAGATCTTATATTCTCCAACTGATAGCTGCAATGTTATATTTTAAGGAAAAAATCTCATGGTTAATTCAATCATTTATTAATAACAGGTTCATCATTTGGACCATAAAAGTCAATTGCTCAACTTTAAGGAAAATAATAAACCTTGTCATATTATAACATGAAGTTGCAAAAGGCTCTTCAGGACGCAGATGTGTCCTGGCCTTTTTTCTCTATTAAATTCTGTAAAGAGGCATTAAGTAATACTGTAAACTTGAATTACACTTCAAAAATAAGCACCATTAACATACATTCTACATAAACTTACTTTGCCTTTTAAATGACACTTTTTTGGCCACACAAACAATCTGTTCTTTACATGTAAATAAAAATAAGCAATATTTAATCACTACACAAAAATATCATCAAATTTCACCTCATTGCACAATGAAAAAGCATTGAGAAAAAGCACTGGAAAAAACACCACACATTATTTTTATCTTTTTTTTTTTTTTATGCATTTTGCCATTTTCTTACATTGAGAGCAGTTAAAACATTGTCAGAGCAATTTCCTGAGTTTCAAAAGTTTCCAATTTCCAGCTCAGAACTAACTAACTAATCATGTTATTACATGTATCCTTTTCCTAAGCATACAAAAACACTTGAATTTAAAAAGAAAAAGGCTATAATAAAAAGACAGAAAACCATCCAAAAAAACTGTTTTTCCTTTCAAAATGTTATAATATGCAAAACATTTAGAGTCACAATATCTACTATATAATATGAACCATATTTAAAGGCCACAGAATTGCAGATAGTATTGAAATACTATTAGAAGAAACTTCAACTTGAAAATAACAGAGATATATGAACAGCCAGTAAGTGTATGAAAACATGCTTCTAATTTCTCACATTGGACAAAGGAGATAGACAGATTGCAAACACTGTTAAGAATCCCCTGGCCCAGAGGCATGCACTCTGTGGTTTCTACATTAGTTCTCTTTTTCTCTTTCCTCTGGAAGATACCAGTAAGAGAATACGAATGGATTTGATACTAAAACCTTCCAAACCACAGAAGTGCTATGCTTTTCAAATATTTTAAAGTTTACAAAGAGCTCTTCTAATATACCATCACATGAAAACTTCAATAATGCCCAAGCTATCTTCCCTTCTGGCATATAGGATTTGAAAATGGGCAAAAGAAGAGGGATCATAAATTTTCTTTCCCAAATTACGTGTTACTTAAACTATACTAGGTAGGAGGGCAGGAGGTAGTATAGGTTTAAACAACTTCATAAAAATATTTATGATGCACAAACTCTGCTTGCAAATTTATCAATGGTAATGAAGAAATATTACCAGATTTACCAAAATAAGACATAAAATTGAAGCTGATACAGTATAGAACATAGCTTCTTTCATTTAGGTTTTACTCATAGACTACCATAACTACTTTTGACTGCTCCCCTATTAACAATCATTATCATCATAATATTGAAGTAAATCTGGCCGAAGGGCTCAAAAGTGACATTTTTTTAACCAGGTGAGAAAATATAGACACAAAAAGTGAGTATGCAACTGCATATACTCCAATACTCCACATTTTAGTGTTGTTTTTAATCTCTTTTAAATCATATTAATTTATACATAGGGATATTTTTATTTCATTAACAAGTATAATTTTATAATAAATTGTCAAAAGGAATTGCCTATTTTAATGTATACAACACTTCTAAACATTACAAAAGTGTGCAGTTTAGTTTATTGGCATGTTTTCCCATGAATTATTACAAATGTAAGAAAGTGAAAATACTTCACCAGTCATTAGCATTTCTAAATAATAAACATATATTCCTTTTTGTGGAAATAAATTCAAAGATAGGCTTTTTCTTTTAAAAGCATGCATGGACGATTTATGAAAACACATTTTTTGAGTGTTATTTTCATTAAAATGTTTGCTTATTTGGGAAATCATTCTGTATTTCCAGGATATTTTTGGTAACAATCCTATTATTCCTGTCCAAATGATTTTTTAAACTAAATAAAAAGCAACACAATTGTTTGCGAAAATTATATGTTGAAAGTATTCTATATATCCAAAATCAAATTTATTTTAGTAACTATCTCATACTAAAAAATTATACATTACCACACTAAACCTGTATAAAAAAATTATACTTTACATACTTACAGGACTTGTTAGCTAATGAAACAAGAGGAGTCAATGAAAGTTTCCGAAAGTTGGCTCTTTTTCAAAATAAACGTAAAAATCTTTTAAACTGGACAGATTCCTTTTATGATGATATTAAAAATGTCTTCTGATTTAAATTAACAGGATTGTGACCTACTAGTTTAGAAGTTACATGCCCCCAATATAAAATATAGTTCTTTAGTGCTGTCTTTGCTGCCACTCGGGCAAATGGTTGGTTCTGGGAGTCCTAGAAGGCAGTAACAAGTGGCAGACAGCCCACCATCTCACCTCTGAAGACCTTTCAGCCTATGGAAAGGATAAGACTGCAAGATAATCTCAGACCCAACTTTCCTCATAGAAAATGCATACACAGAAGAACAGAACAAAAGGAAAGAGATGAGTCACATACAAAGCAGAAAAAAGTATGACAACGAGTTCCCTTCTGCAGGACATGATAAAATGAAATGATTTTATGTATTTGGCTTCAAAAGCAAAAAGAATTCAAGTGTTGTTGTTAAATAGCCTTTCTTTCTTTACTAATATTAATACACACCTCTGAACTGGTTTGAACCAGTTCTCAAAGCACATTACCTCTCACAGAAGCCTTTAGGACTTTGCTAAATGTCAAACAACAATTAATACAAAGGTAGCATTTTCTCTTTGAGAAAGAATCAGAGCACTTCAGACTTTAAAATTGCAGCTGATAATTTTCTTAGACATTTTGTAATCCATAAAAATTCTCTTTAATATTTTTAACAGGTAACATTACTTGGAATTTGATTCAGTAAAAAAATTAAACTTCTCTTCAATTTTGAAAAACATTTTTTTTTCTTATAAGTGAACATTGTTTCTAATAAAACACACGTTTAAAGCAGAATTGATTGAATTATTTCAAATAAAACTAATTTTAACCTACAAACCTTCATACTTCTAAGTCAAGGACATTTATTTTACTTTAGCATGACTTTCAAGCACCCTGGTTTAATTTCAGAGAACCTGCAGAAATGAGAAAAGAGATGTTTTAAAGATAAAATTTTCAAATTGGCTAAGAAATGTATCTTTTTTAAGTATTTATGCTTAGTGATATTTACTATCAAAGTGCTCTCCTTTGTCTATGTTTATGTTTCTTTTAATCTATTATCAAAACAAATATAACCCTAAGGCTGCGGGTTACTCCTAACTCAATAGTCAACACAATTTAAGATTTTTTCAAAACCTCTCAAAAGCCTTCATGAATTTGGCCTTCATGAAGAAGAGTCTGCTATATGGAGGATAAGACGGAGTCTGCATTACACTGTTTTTGTGCATAAAGCATCAAGAAATCTCTGATAAAGCAGGGAAGTCTGATTCTGGCCATGCAATACTTTCAATTGTCTCATGGTAAAATTTCAAGGAACATTAGGCAATAAAACAGATCATTAATCTCAACATTTCTGGTCTAACTACTCCTTTGTAAAAATATCTGAAATGTCACTTGTTTTCATGCTCAGAAATAAAGCTACCCTTTTCTACACTGTAACCAAGAAACATTTTATTACATGCCATACACAAAATGGCAAAAATGAAATAAGTGGTTACCCTAACTAAAATTGGATGGGAGGCATGACTTAAGAGCATATATCCTCAGGAAATTTATCCATCAACAGATCTTTAATCTTGGACTTGGCATTTTCTGTTGTTGAATAATGGTCACAATAAAAAAGGACATTTTAATGTATGTCAGCAAAAATCATTAATGGAACTTATGAAGACATATAAATTCATATTAACTGGAGAGTTTCTGCTAAAAAGTTTCCACACTGTCAAATTAAACTACATTTTAGCAAAAGTCCAATTCCATTTAAAAATAATTTTTCTTTCAAAAGAATAATTTAACAGCAAAGCTTAATCTATGGTATGTATACATATAATCTAATTACATAATATATTATCAAAGGAACACAAATATATTTAATATATTCTATATTATTTTTTAGAATTTCAAAGTTATGATAAAGTTTTATCAGACGATTTCTGAAAATAAATATGACTTTTTAATTGCTGGTTTATCGCACCACATAAATGTAGCAGGGAAGTTACACCCAAGTATGAATCTAGGCCTAAACCATGAGGTTCAATTCAGTTAACTATTATGATAAACAGACTGAGCATACTGTTACTGTTTACCTAACTACATATGGGCAATTATCATTATTAATACCAGAAATCTGTACCCACCTGAAGCTATGGCTTGTGAGGTATTTAATGACAGCTGGTTTGATGCGAGCAACTCCTCCCTGGCTGTGGTTTCCTCTCCCAGTAATCACAGAAAGATAGGGCTTACCACCATTCTGTTTAAACTCTGTTACAACAGGAATTGGAACAGATAAAATCACTTCTTACATTCTCAACAGAAAACATGCCTTAACTACTCAAATGCATATGAAATGTTCATGATGATTTAGAGGCTCATTACCTCAGAAAGCCCCCAAATTAAAAATATGTTTTAAAACATACACTGCTGGGCTGGGGTTGTGGCGCAGTGGTACAGTGCTTGCCTAGCATGCATGAGGCACTGGGTTAGATTCTCAGCACCACATATAAATAAATAAAATAAAGGTCCATCAACACCAAAAAAATATATTAAAAAAAAAATACATTGCCTCACAGCAATTTCTCCACCTGAAAAACTTAAGTGGAACTTCTCCTATGGGAAAGGAGGTTTCCATGCATTACTGCAAGTTCTCTCTGAAATGATGGTGACAGCAACAATATTAATTACATCTAACAATTACTATACACAGAGGGTTGGGCATGCTTTAAATGACTTATATTTTTGTCTGAATCACAGTTTTGCCAACAAATGACTGTATGACTGTGCACAAGTTACTTAGCTTCCCCTGTGTCTGTTTTCCTCATCAGGAAAATAAGATAACAGGATTACTTTATAGACTACCCCCCAGGAATAGCTATTAGCAAACTCACTAATTATACCATGAAGTGTAGTCCTACTGTTAAAGATGATTGTTAAGAAATTCTTCCTGATAGATAACAGTTAAAATACTGAATGAGCCTAAGATTTTTGAACAACTAAAGTTCCTGCTTTAGAAATGACCTTGGGAAAGCCAGTATATAAATCTTGAAGTTAATGACATCTGTAAAAGCACAAAAAACAAAACCTGCTCATGATACAAAGTTGATTTAATGAATTCAATAAATATCTTCGTTCATAAATAGCACAAGTTTTGCTCTTAGCATAAAATACATAGAAACATAACATAGCATTTCATCTTCTGCTCATTAAGTTGTCCTAATACACCAAGAAAACCCCATCATATGTTTTTTCAAGTTTTATCATCTCCAGAGCAATGTTAGGCTTAGGAAAAAAAGAATTTTGTATTTTATTTTTATTGATTGACTGATTGATACTGGGGATTGAACCCTGGGATGCTTTACTATTTAGTTACATTCCCATTCCTTCTTGTTATTTTATTTATTTATTTATTTATTTATTTATTTATTTATTTAGAGACAGGATCTTACTAAGTTGATGATGGTCTTGCAAAATTTCTGAGGCTAACCTTAAACTTTCGATCCTCCTGCCTCAGACTCCCAAGTCACTGGGATTACAGGTATCTGCCACTGCACCTGGCTAGGCTTAGAATTTTAAAAGAACACATTGCTCTTGCATTTTTAATTCCTTATATTTGCCTAAATTTCCCATTTCTACTCTAATCCATAGCCATTATTTCAAGCAATGTTGTTAAAACTCATCTCTTTCTGGGTGCTACCTATAGTTAGGTTTCCACTTTATAAAAAGGCTTTATACTACACACCTGTAAATAAGGGAACTGTTGTTTAGGTATGTTATACCCCAAAACTTTACTTACCAAAAATACCTTAAATCTCTTAACTGACCATAATTCACTCTCACACACTCCTTCATTATTGTTCCCCTTATAGGTTAGGTCATTTATACCACCTCACCTTTCAAAGTTCACATGCTGCCCTGAAGGTATTGTCCAGTTGATTCACATGCCTCAAAGTGGGAGTTCAGAAGATATTTGCTTCATTAATTAATTAAAGCGTATGTTTAACTTCCCAAATTACAGGCTGTTCCTGCTATTTAACACTTTTGAAAAAACTCTTTAACTCACTTTTCAGCACATTCCAGACTATTTCAACTGCAAATATATCAGTATGTATCTCAAAAAAGCACTCTTTTAAAAAATGTCACTACAAGTCAGACACACTGGTTATGTGTCAGTAGTCATAGCTACTTAGAAAGCTGAGGAGGAGGATCACTTGAGCCCAGGAGTCAGAGAACAGCCTGGGCAACAGTGAGCCCCCATCTCAAAAAAACAAAAAACAAAACAGCAACATCACCATCTTACAAAATTAATAACTCCTTAATATCATCAGTTTCTAAAAGTTTCTCTCCCAGTTATTTTTAAAATGTATTTTTAAAGTGATTTGTTTGAATCAGGATTTATTTTTTCCACATTTTTACTGGTGTATACATGATGATGGGACTTGATGATTTGTTGGTACATTTTCCTACATGCACACAATATAACAATATAATTTGGTCAATAAATTTCCCCAGCACTTCCTCCCACCCTCCAATCAGGATTGAATGGCTAGTATGTGTATATATGTACACGTATGCATACACATACACATGCATTTTGTTTTCAATACTGGGATTGAATTAGGAATACTCTATCCTGAGCTACATCCCCTCCCTTTTTTGTTTTGAGATAGGGTGTTACTAAGTTTCTCAGGTTGCCCTCAAACTTATAATCCTCCTGCCTTGACCTCCTGAAAAGCTAGGATTATAGGCAGATGCCACCATGCCCAACTTAGTGTTTGTTTATTTGTGGTCCTGGGGAATAAGGATTGGGCTCAGGTGGACACTGAGCTACATCCCAAGCCCTTTTATTTCTTATTTTGACACAGGGTCTCACTAAGCTGCCCAGGCTGGCCTCAAATTTGCAAACTTTCTACTTCAGCCTCCAGAGGGATTATGGGCCATGCACTAGCACTACTGGTCAGCTTGGTATATTTCTTAAGTAACTTTTAATCTAAAGGTTTTTCCCTCCTTTTGTGTTTTTCTTTAAAAAATATTGAGGAAAAAATGATTCATTTATCCTAGATTTTTGACAATCTGGATTTGCTGATGCATCCCCATTCGTGTTGTTTAACATGTTCCTCTATCCCGCATAAATCTCTACAATATGTAATCAGAGCTAAAGGCTTGATCAGCTTCTGGTTGGATTTGGGGGCAAAAATACTCCGTAGGTAGTGATGTGAACTTAAGTCACAAAACACAAGGCCCAGATGTCTCTATTTTTTTTTTTTTTACAAATCTACAATTTTGACAATCCTTTTATGTTGTGACAAAAAGCAATGCAGGGCAGAGCAACAGTTTTTCCCCTGAAAACGCTTCTATTCAACAATACTACCATCTGGTGGTGATTTGCAGTAACTACAGGCTACTATAGGTCACCTCATAACAAGATGGGCTTTGGCTTCCAGAAAAAATTTGTATTTTAGCTATGAAGAGGTGTTACCATGGGCAAAGTATTTCTTTTTTCTTACAATTTTTTTAATTGAGATAAAATTCACATAACAAAATATCATTTTAAATGCATAATTCAGTGATTTTTAGTATATTTACATTTTACAACCAATCCCCCTAATTCCAGAACAGAGAACATTTATCATCTCCAAAAGAAATTCTGTGCCTATTAGCAGTCACCTCCAATCACACTCCTTTCCAGCCCCAGACACCATGAATCTATTTTCTGTCTTTATGGATTACCTATTAAGACATTTGAATAAATGGAATCATACAATTCCATTGTATGGATCTACTACATTTTGTTTGTGTATACACACACACACACACACAGATTATTCAATGATGTAAAAAGAAGGAAATGTTATCATTTTCAAATATGGATAAACCTAGAGTGCATTATATCAGCTAAAATAAGCCAAGCAGAGAAAGACAAATACTGTATAATTTCACTTATATATGGAATCTGAAAAGGAAAGTCCAGGAGAAGAGAGTAGTGGTAGCTGGGAGATATTGGTTAAGTGGTACAAACTTTCAATTTTAACAGTAAGTTCCAAGGAGCTTGTGTAACACTGGCAGCTATTACAAATATCACTGTATTATATACTTGAAATATGCTAGGTCTAGATCACAAGTATCCTCACCACACACACAGAGAGAAAAAAAGTGGTCACTCCAGGAGGTATTGGGTGTACTGACTTGACAATTCTGCAAAAATCTATCACCTTATTATTTTTATATTTTACTAAATATCAATTAAACAATTTATATCCTATAAATATCTATTGCTTAACAAACATCAACTGAACAAAAATATACAATATTACTGAAATGTCTCATTTATAAGTCACAAAAGATTCTCAGACTACACTACACCTCCCTTCAATAAATATAGCAAATAACCAAGACTGAGATATAAAGGGAAACAATGTGAAAAATGGTCATTCCAATGAGAACTGTCTACAAGAAGGCTCTATGGAAGAATGACGAATATAGCTATGCTAATCCAACAAGACACTCATATACATATGGCACAGATATCCCCAGCCTGCATGTTCAGTTGCTCCTGAATTTGCAAGTTATATCAAAAGACAATTTCTATTCACAATAGAAAAATGGATCATCACCTCACTCCTACCTTCAGTTTTCTGCTGTAAAACTGTCATCAAATGTTCTATTGCTTCATCCACATGCAGCCCATGGAGGTCTAAGACATTCTGTGGCAGCAGGGAGGCATTAACTTTCTCAAAGATCTCCACAGCGGCAAGGTGGTTGGCTTCTTTCATTTTCTGCTCATGAAGACTGCCCTTTAATTGTCAACAAATCACCAATGGACATTTCAGATATTTTCTACTTAAATGAAGAGGAGACTAACATTTCCTCTGCTCTAAATAAAAGGCAGAACGATAAGCCTAAAATCTCAAATAATCCAACGGGCTAAAGTACAAGAACCGCACCAAAATTTAGGTAAATTTCTGCAGATTAATAATGTAGTTTTAAAATATTGAATCATGGTTTCTACCAAATTTTTTGAACCAAAAATCATAAAAGAAGGAAACTAAACACTAGCCATCTCATGAAAGAGCCCACTCATTCAATATTGATAACAAGGTGTGCCCTTTGATAATCTTGGTTTCAGGGTCATTCCCTCTCATCATCCCACAATTACCTCCTACAGTCATCACCAGGGCCCTGTTATCAGGGCTCACAGAGCTATGCCAGCTTGACACCTTTCTGTGGTCAACCACAAAACAGCCATTGTGGAACCACAAAATGAAAAGTAAATCCAGAGGATTTCTTAAAATACCATGCAAAATGAGCCCCGGTGGAAATTTAATTTCCCTAAAAAATATTAATGTCATTTTCTTTTTCTGACCATAAAAGTGATACATTACTAGAGATTCAAATACAACAGAAAGCCCAATACCCACTAATTCCACTGAGATATATTCTGCTTCCTTTCCTCCAGAAAACTTACCCATTTAGAAGTGGCACTGAATGATGGAATCTAATCTTAAAGAAAATATGGACTGTCAGAATAATATGTAATTCACATAGGCTATAAATATGAAACAACTGAGTGGCTGGGGCTCAGTGGTAGCGCACTTGCCTGGCCATGTGTGAGGCACTGGGATCATTTCTCAGCACGACATATAAATAAATAAAATAAAGATTTATCAACAACTAAAAAAGTGTTTAAAAATATATAAAACATAGCATTCAAAGGAGATGAAATTCACACAACCTCATTTTGTTTACATGAGAATGCCTTATTGATATCATTTATATAATCTCCAAACCACGCTCCCTACCCAGTATAATATAATCACAACACAGTACAGGTGTTATCTGCTTTAAGATTATTTAGATACCACCATAACTGACAAAGAAATGAATTAAAATCAGTTTTCTACTTTACCTGCTGGGCATAAAAGGTGGCAACATTTTTCTTCCCCATTCGGTAAGCTTCCTTAGCTTTGCTATAGCATTCCATCCTCTTCTGCTGGTGCAGGAAAGCCTCTGCCCTGTAGTCATCATACTCAGGGTACTCGAAATCCTGGAAAGATGGTTCACTTGGGGTATCTTCAGTCTCCTTCAATTTCTTTGCCTATAAGATATTACATAGTAAGTAACATTCAAAGACAGTAAAAAACACATATCTTCAGAAAACACATACAAAACTTGGGCTCTCTCATTTATCATCTTTCTTCTCAAAAAACAGATTCTACCTTTTAAGTCAGGCATTTATTGACTATCAGTAACTTTTTCATGTCATTAATGTTACCCCCCCCCCCCTTTTTAACCATTCTTACCTCAGGAGGTGATGAAGAGTTCCCTAAAGTTATGAAAATATAATTAGGTCACATACAAGCCAAAAGACAGAATATGAGATATTGAAAGAATAAAACTCATTTATCCAATGGAGGAATTCCAAGTTCATTAAAGGTAGAAATGGCATATTTATCTTTTTAAAAATCCAACTGAGAACTGGTGGTATATCAGTGGTAGAGCACTTGCCTAACATGTACGAGGGCCCTGAGTTCAATCCCCAGCACTGCAGGGGGCGAATTGATACAATAAACTGAACAATCTTCTCTTTAAAACAGAAGAGCCAGTCGTGGTGGCCCATTCCTGTAATCCCAGCAACTAGGCAGTAGTATCAAAAGTTCAAAAGCCAGTCTCAGCAAAAAGCAAGATGCTAAGCAACTCAGTGAGACTCTGTCTCTAAATAAAAAATACAAAATAGGGCTGAGAATGTGGCTCAGTGGTCCATTGCCCCTAAGTTCAATGCCTAGTACCAAAAAAACAAAACTAAAAAAAGAGCTTGAGGAGTTATCATGGCTGGTAGTTAATAAAGATTGTAACTTTGTTCATGGGGCAGTTTCAACCAGCTAATTAGATGAGGTCAGCCACTAGCTACTGAGGTCAATTAGCTATTACTAGCTATTACTCAATTTCAAAGATCTTTTTAAAAAAATTATCATGTGATAATAATCATGTGATAATATTATCATATTAAAATTATCATGTGATAATAATAATGTATAAAACAGACCCTTAAAGGAAAAGTCACTGTACTGTAAAGATAATGAAAATTAACTATTATGTAAATTGCCTCAGTGCTCTCCACCAAAGAGGAAAATTACATTTTTAAAATAATATTGTCACATGGTGCATCCAAATATCTCTAGAATATCAAAAAACAGTGTTAAAAAATAAATAAAATACAGCCCAGGCATTGTGGTGCACATTTATAATCCCAGCTTCTTGGGAGGCTAAGGCAAGAGGATCATAAGTTCAAGGTCAGCCTGGGTTCAATGAAAAGAAAGAAAAATACAGTGATTTTTTTATATCCAATTTACCTCATTTATCTTCTTTTGGTGTTTGCAAAGAACTGCCTGCAAACAGCAATTTCGTCTCTCCTAGCTTATTATAGGGGAGGGAATTAATTAATACTACTTAAACTTACTTCCTTAAAAAGTAAAAGAATTCCAAGCAATAAGTGCCACACCAAGTAATTTAATAAACATTTATAGGCATTCAATACCAAAACCAAAACAAATTATAAATTTTAAATATCATAAACAAGTCATATTTTTTCTGATATCATGAACTGAAAGTAATAATGTAGGTTATTTGTTAAAATTTAAAAAGCTGGAAATTGTTATTTTGTTAGAAGTATTATCAAGAGATAAATTATAAAGTCATAAAACAATCCTTAATAACTTTGGCTTAAAATTTTTCTGTAATCTTTAATGTATAGTAAATATTATATAAAAATTATAATGTATTATATAATGTACATGTATCATACTAATTCATTAAAATTTTTTTTTCACATTTCTTGTCTGTGAACAGAGTTCAGAAGCCAAGAAAGACTAGAAAAAAACTGGTATAATATATACTAGTAGATGATTATATAATTTCTCCACTATTATATTTTAGCTTATTTGGACCCTAGAACTATAGAGGCTTGAAAGAATAATAACATTACCATGCTTCTAACTCATTACCAGACCTAAATCAATCAATTAATTTTTGCAACAAACACCCAACTTATTTTATGAAAAAACAATGCAAGGATGCCTCTTTTATAAAAATATTCACAGACCCTATCTTCTTATTCACTCTTGCTGGTGCTTAAGCACAGACCAGTTTATATTAAAGTTCAAATATTCTGAGTGCCTGGCTTACCTTCCTGATAAAATCAAAGACTTCAGGGAGGCAGTTTAATAAAAATACTTTCTACAGCCTGGTGCAGTAGTGCATGCCTGCAATCCCAGCGACCTGGGAGACTGAGATAGGAAGATGGCAAGTTCAAAGCCAGCCTCAGCAAAGTCGAGGCACTAAGCAACTTGGTGAGACCCTGTCTCTAAATAAAACCAAAATAGGGTTGGGGATGTGGCTCAGTGGTTGAGTGTCCCTGAGTTCAGTCCTCAGTACCCCCCCCAAAATAATACTTTCTACAGTGTTTGAAATTTGCACAATGCCTAACACTATGGACATCATAAGTCTCTTACAGCAAGGGTCTCTTTTTACTAAACAATGCAAATCATATTTGGTTCTCTAATAAGAGATCTTTCATTGCCTGTTTTCAAAGAAGAAAAAACAGTAAATGATAAAAGATACTTTCTCAGGTACTCTTTTAAAATGCAGCTGGCATTTATTTTTATATCCATTTCATACGAATGTGCTATATTATAATTTCATTAACAAGAGCCAAGTGAAATATTATTTCTTTCCTAAAAATCCACCTAATAAGTATCACTTATTCTCTTATAAGCCTGATTGATGCACTCTAATGCCAAAATCATTTCCTATGGATAACAAACCTGTACATTTTAATAAAGGCTAAAGAAATAAGTAGTAATATTAAAATGTACAGATTTGTTATCCATAGGAAATGATTTTGGCATTAGAGTGCATCAGGCTTGTTAAAGAATCCTAAAAGATCTTTACCAGTTTTGTGACACCTACCCATATTTTGTGAGCAAGACTAATCTCCAGAATAACTTAAAGGTTAACATTTTGGTCAAGGTTTATATAATTCACACAAACTCCCTTTTCTGATTTTCCAGTCATCTCCCACTTCAAACAATACACCTCTCCTCCCTATCATTTCCCCCATCATCAGAATGACCCACAGTGCCTTGAATACCATTAGGACAGAGAAATAATCTTCATTTCTAGTCTGGCCTACAAGGCCGCATGATCATTCTGTACACTATTTGCATCTTATAATAAATGGCATCTATCTATCATGGTACCTTATTTTCCATATGATCAGAGGCATCAAGGATATCACTTAGATTCTGTTCCAAGAACAGCAATAATAGGTCACATGAATAACAGAATTACCCAAGTCCAATATATCAACTATGTCATGGTGAAATATTCAAAGAAAAAAAGGAACAAGTAATTTATCCCTGAGAATTCTTAGAAATAACAATAATATAGGGCTGGAGATATAGCTCAAGGGTAGTGCTTAATTTTTTATTTTTTGATGCTAGGGATTGAATCCAAACAAGTGCTTTACCACTGAGCTATATCCCCAGCCTGGTAGAGCTCTTACCTAGCATGCCAGAAAGAAGGAAGAAAGGAAGGAAGGAAGGGAGGGAGGAGGGAGGGAGGGAAGGAGGGAAGGAAGGAAGGAGAAAGGAAGATAAAAAGAGCAATATGATAAAGTTATGTAAAAATGTCTACTTATATAAGATTAATATACAAAATTTTTTTATGCATTTACAGTGAACAATACAAAAATAAAATTAAGAAAATAATTCCAATGTAAAATGTGCAACAACTTTGGAAAAAGAGCAGGGTACTTTCTCAAACAGTTATGTTTCAGCCCACATATTTACACTCTAGATCCATTATATTATAAAACCCCACTGCTATTCAATTTTTGGGGTGCACATGGAATTCTAAACCAAATATGCTATTGGTCATTAAATTTCCCATAGTCAATGGTGAGAAATAATCCTTAAAATTATTATGCTTAATTAACAAATCTTATTTTATATATAATTATCTACCATTATAGTGAAAAAGTAAGTAATTGTATACCTTTTTCTCTTTAGTCTTCTGTGCAGTATGAGAAGTGACATTCTCATTTTGGTGAACAAACTCTTGAGCTACAACTGTTTTTACAGGATCTCCTTCGAGAACACAGTTTAAAAATTGCACTGTGTGTTCTAACGAATAGCTGTAGAAAGTTTAAGTACAAATACAATGTCAATATGTAAAAATAAGATATGTGGAGACATTAGCATAAGCAATCATCAAGTATTTTGTAAGAAATAAATTTTCAACACTGAAACAAAATGTTTATTGTGTATTTCAAAGAGTCAAGAATGATCTGCAGGAAGCTGATCAGGAACAGGCTCACAAAAACTAACTTTAAAATTCTTAAAAAATTTCCAAAAGGTAACAATGGAGGGAGGGAGGGATGAAGAAAGGTTGATCAATGGGTACTAAGTTACAGTTAGATAACAGCAAGATGTTCTGATGTATTATTATATAGAAGGGTGATTATATTATCTATATTATCTACATCTATATAATATTAAACCACATTGGATACCCTCATGTTCTAATATCTAAAGAAATTAATTCCAAAGAAAATGATAAATTATTTCACACTACTCATTATTTCAGACTATTTATGCCTCTCATTTCTTCCATTGGCCAGATAATGAAATGTTGACCATATCTGAATATTTTTGAAATGTTACAGGCAGTTATCTAAAATAGTATGTATTAGTACTCTTCAATTTATCATAGATGACTTGTGAAGGGAAGCCATTTGGGACTTACAATTTCGCTTTAATCCTCTCATGATGCTGCCTTAGAAAAGCTCAACACAGAGGGGTTTCTAGGGGCTGAACCGCTACTAACAACTATCCAATCTTTTTGAGCCCTTAAAATCACCTACCAGCTGGACATGGTGGTCCACACCTGTAATCCCAGAGACTTGGGAGGCTGAGGTAGGAGGATCATAATAAGACCCTATCTCAAAATTTAAAAAGCTGGGGATGTAGCTCATGGTAGAGCACTCCTGGGTTCAATCCCAAGGATCACAAAAACAAACAAAAAATCATCTGCCCACTCACGGGGCTGGAAGTTAGTCCCCACCACTGGTATTGTTTTGAGGGTTATGGCCCTAGATGATTATACTTCATTCATAAGTATAGATTATAAGATTATAGTTCAAGTATAGAAGTAACTTAGCCCACCTACCCTCCTTACCATAATGAAGCTGAAGCTACTGTTTGCTAAAAGAATCAGCTGTTGGCAGATAACCACCCACTCCAAGAGCCTGACTAACCAATCACTCTGACCATCCCTAGAAAGGACTCATGGAACCCCCTCACCTTGCCTGGGGAATACAACTCTGAATTGTTTCACCTCAAATCCTCTGGCCCCTGCCCCAACAGAGGAGAGCTACCAGATGCCAGCAACACCTCCCTATCCCGGAACCTTCAGAGATCTTAATACATAATTTTAAGAAAACAGTAGGTTGGTAGTAAAAATAAATTTAAAAATTATGGATTGAAATAATACTATTTAAAAACTAATTTAAATGACTTACTTAGAACTTTGCATACTTAACAGAATAATATTCTTTTCAAAAGTACTCTATAAAATATTTATAAAAAGTGATCATGTATTAAACCACAAAGAAAATCTCAAATTCCAAAAAATAGAACTCTTTTTGGCCATTTTCTTTCTTATTTATTTATCTATGCACGCAGTACTAGGGGTTGAACCTTAGGGCCCTCTACAGCTAAATTATATCCCCAGCCCTTTTTATTTTTAGTCAGGGTCTGGCTAAATTGCTGAGGCTGGTCTCAAACTTGGATCCTCTTGCCTTAGCCACCTGAGTCACTGGGTTTACAGGTGTCTACCATCATGCTTGGCAAGAAAAAAATTTTAAAAGGGTCAACCTTACTAGTAATTAGGAAAAGAGAAAGAGAGAGAGAGAGAGAGAGAATAGAGAGAGAATTTTAATATTTATTTTTTAGTTTTCAGCGGACACAACATCTTTGTTTGTATGTGGTGCTGAGGATCGAACCCGGGCAGCACGCATGCCAGGCAAGCGCGCTACTGCTTAAGCCACATCCCCAGCCCAGGAAAATAAAATTTCAACAATAATGAAATATCTTTTTTCCTATCAGATTGGCAGAAACTTAAAGTTCCTAATATCCAGGGAGGTTATACTCTCTGTACATATAATTAATACAGCCAGTCTTTATTAAAGGAAATTTGCATTAGCTATAAAATTTTTCAATGACACACACTATAAAGCAACAATTTCACTTTTAGGAATTATCCTACAATAGCATTCACCCATGTACAGAAAGATGTATGTTCAGGGATGCTCACTGTAACATGGTTAGAATTTTCTTACCAGAAACAGAGGTATATTTAAATAATTATGGCACTTTGGATTAATCTGCAGGCTTGAACAAGAAAAGAGCAGATCACAAGGACAGAAAAATAAACACTAGCAAAACTACAAAATCAGTACATAAAATACAATCTCTTATTTAAGTGAAGTACACACACACACACACACACACACACATGAAAGCAAATAGGCACATATCATTAGCACATATGTAAGAAAAACATTGAAGAATATGCATTCCCAGGAACTGTTAGCCTTCTACATTATATACATTGCATTTAAATTTGTTTATATATTATTTTTTAATGAGAAAAAATAAACAAAAAAGATTATTTGGCATATGCTTTCAGTGACATCAGAGTAGAAACTCTAGATACTCCTTCTAGTACTCACTTGTGATCCTTGAAAATGTCCACCAGAAAATTTTGGTTAATGGCTGGAAATATCTTAAAGAGCTGCTTCTCCTTTAGTTTAGTGGCACAATCTTTTTCAAACATAAGTGTCTCCCTTTTCTAAAACAAAAACATAAAAATCACCTTTTAAGATGAAATTTATAACACAAGCGATGCTAACCAAAAGAATAATTATTTTGTTGCAAAAAAACTAAGAATTTACAAGCAATCACAGAATTTCTTCACTGATTAATGGTTGAAGTTAGTAGTGTATCATTGCACTATTTATTTATATCCCATTTTTAGAAAGTATTTGAAACCCAAAGGACTTAAAATCAGCATAGTACAGGGACACAGCCACATCAATGTTTGTAGCAGCACAATTCACAATAGCTAAACTGTAGAGTCAACCTAGATGCCCTTCAGTAGATGAATGGATTAAAAAAATGTGGCATATATTCCATATTATGTATATAATGGAATTTTACTCAGCAATAAAAGAGAATAAAATCATGGCATTTGCAGGTAAATGGATGGTGTTGCAGAAGATAATGCTAAGTGAAGTTAGCCAATCCCAAAAAACCAAATGCCAAATGTTTTCTCTGAGATAAGGAGGCTGACTCATAGTAGAGTAGGGAGGGGGAGCATGGGAGAAATAGAACTCTAGATAGGGCAGAGGGGTGGGAGAGAAAAGGAAGGAGCAGGGTAAGGTTAGCAAGGGTGGTGGAATGTGATGGACATCATTATCCAAAGTAACTGTATGAAGACACAAATTGGTGTCAACATACTTTATATACAACCAGAGATATGAAAAATTGTGCTGTATATGTGTAATAAGAATCGTAATGCATTCCACTGTCATTTATTTTTTAAAAAATCAATAAAAGACATTATATCATCTGATGATGCAAAAAAAAAGAAAGTATTTGAAGTTGCTCATAAATATATAACTATATATATAATCACACAGATGTGTATGGGTGTATAAATATGTACACACACACTTATATACATATCCAATACATTCAATCATATTAATAAAAGAATATATATATATATACAGTCATGCACCACATAACACCATTTCAGTCAATGACAGACCACACATACCATGGTGTACCACAGCCTAAGTGTGTAGCCTACACTCTCTTGGCTCAAGCAAGTACACTCTATGATGTTCACTCAACATATTGCCTAATGTCACATTTCTAAGAACATTATCCCTGTTGTTAATTGATACATGACTATATATAAATAAATAAAAGGTTAAGCATGGGGTCCAGTCTAGGAAACAGAATTAAATGAAAATCACAAACAAGCACAATTGATTGAGTCAGAAACAATAGCTTAGTATTGGTACTAACTCATACCAAATCATGTTTTTCCTGTAAGGCAATTTCTTCCGACATTATTTCTCTGAGTGATACTTTTTTAGTTTGAGTATTCCAATGATCCAACAAGGGGAGCATTTCGGGTGCTGCTAAAGTCTTCAGCAATTTTTTGCCTGTTCTCTGAGATGATTTTTGTTCAGGATTATCAAGACCAATATGTCCAACCAGGGAAGAATCTACAAGAGCAATATAAGTACTGTCAAATAAATCCTCAACAATTAATGTACAAAATCCAACAGAGGTCAAGGAAATGTGCTACTGTTTTTAGGTTTTAATTTTCAGCTTTTAAATATATAATAGCTCTGAAATTTCAAAATACATCTACACATAATTGCAAACAAGAAATAAAATGTGTAAGTGTAGGAATATTTCAAATGAGAGCATTGATCTGAATAAAACTATTAATCAACTTAGCATATAATGGTGACATGTATTTAGGACACTAATAAATAGAGGAAGTTGCAGCCAATGAATTGAGCAACTGAACCCATTGGTCAGTTCTGCCCAGCTACTGCAAGGACTGAGAGGATCAATATTTTGGCAAATCTGAAACTCACTGGAGGCACACAATAAATATTGAGCTAATGATATTCAAAATAAAGAACTGAACATTCTAAGAAGTTCACAGTAACAGAATTTAATGTGTAAAATTTCAGCATCTCTACAGACACATGCTGACATATTGCTTTGTTTTCCCAGGGAGAGAAGAAACAGCACACACTGGCATTCCCACAACCACCATACACTCCAGGCTCTTCTACCCCTCATACCGCTCTAACTGTGGAAACTATGATGTGAGCATAGGTCTGAATCCCAACCTAGAGCTCTATGCCTTGGTCACAGCTGGGAGTGGACAAAAGAGATGCCCGGAGGATTTCATGAACAAAGAAGTACCCTTATCAACACTCTTCCACCCCTCAGCAGAAATCAATGAAGACAATGCTTCCTTAAAGGAATCATCTGTAATCAAGTATTCAAGCTGGTAGGATGTACCAAAAAGCAGGCTGGCCTTTGGGCTCTAATATTTTAACATCAGTAAAAACTTTGAATAACCATGTAATTATTCAACAATGCTCTCAGATATTATATTTTACTGTTCTCAAACCAAAATACTTTTCATTCATGCAGAGCAAAACCTTAATAGGGAACACTTTGACTATATTTATTAGATCATACTTTAGGTGTTTCACAGCACTCATGATAAAGATATAGTACAGAGGTTTTATTCTCCTTTTTTATTTTATATCAAGATTCAATGATGGGGCTGGGGATGTGGCTCAAGCGGTAGCGCGCTCGCCTGGCATGCGTGCGGCCCAGGTTCGATCCTCAGCACCACATACAAAGATGTTGTGTCCGCCGATAACTAAGAAATAAAAATTAAAATTCTCACTCTCTCTCTCTCTTTAAAAAAATTTAAAAAGATTATTTAAAAAAAAAAAAAAAGATTCAATGTTAAAGCTCAGCAAGGTAGGGTATGCCTGTAATTCCATAGGCTGGAGAAGCTGAGGCAGGGGGATCACAAATTCAAGGTCAGCAAGGCCCTAAACCACTCAGTTAGACCCTATCTCGAAGTATCAAAATAAAAGATTCTAGGGATATAGCTCAGTGGTAAACCACCCCTGGGTTAAATCCCCAGTACAAAAAAAAAAAAAAAAACGAAGGAAGGAAGAAAGAGATTAAATATTAAATACTTTTAAAGAACTTTCATTTACAAATCAAAATTTGAGTAACATATTTTTGGAAGGACATTTAGAATGAGTTCACACACACACACACACACACACACGTTACAACATTAAGACAAGAACATCAAAAATAAAAATACATGCTTTACCTTGAATAACCTTGCCACAAGATACTTCCTCTTGTCTTTGTCGCTCCTAAAAACGAATGCAGAGCAGGGGATTAACAAAGGAGTGCACTGGTAACCAAGCTCACAGGTTATATTATTTTTCTCTAAAAATCATTTCTTTTTATATAATCGTAAATTGTTCTTACTAACTGTAAGGAAAACAATAAAACTAGATAAATGAAATTATAAATATGGCTATATCTACATACTGTTCCACTTACAGAGCTCTTACGTTGCATTTTCTAAAAAAATGTTTTTGAAATTTAATCAATTCACATTGCAGTGTTTTAGGGAATAAAAACCTCACTGTTTATTTTTTTTTCTTTAAAAAAAAAAAAATCAACAATCACACTGAGCTCCATCGCTAATTATATAATTGGCCAGTCTGGAAATAGCTCAAATACTGAAAAGAGAAAAACAATCAGTAATCTGTTAACTGGTAAAAGTTCATTCTCTCAAAGTCAAAATTCAATAAAACTTTTATATAGTATGGTAGATTTTATTGAAAACAAAGGTAACAAAATAAGACACAAAAGGAGTTCTTCATATAAAGAAGCCTACCAACCATTACAGATTCTTTCCATTTCTCATGAATCACTTTAGCCAGATTCAGATCTATATGAACCACACAATCCTCAACTGTTAGAGACCCTTGTAAAGGGGAGAAAAAGAAAAGAAAATACATTCATTACTCGTTATATATTTGCAGAAAATGTACTCAACTATCATATGCATTATAAAGCTGATTTGTATTATTAATTAGTAACTTATGCTCATCTATTTACTTAGCCTCTTGGAATATTTTTCTGTTGTCATTGTTTTCACACTTCTTAATTGGTACAATTATACAAAGTTTCATAAAGAATCTAAGTTATTCACTTTCCTTAGTTTCAATACATGTAATTGATTCATTTCCATTAGTTCAGATTTTTCAGTAAGTGTGTTCTAAGAAATTAATTCTTGCTTTAAATGTATCTGGAATAGCACCAGAAGACTCAAAGAAGTTCGTCTGTGTAAGTGTGAGATTAATACCACAGTAAATATTCAATTCACACATGGGATGGATACAAACTACAATATAAATGTTCTCTACTTCTTCAAATCTCTTTTTATTAAATCCTCTAAGACACATGCTGAGCAAAAATTAAGGCACTATGTGCAGTCAGCACCATAAATTACTTTTACTTTTCAGTTAGCATATGAAATAGTTTTGCAATTAAATAGAACCTCTATTTCTTTCACACAAAGACATAATATAGGTAACTTAGTTTTTCCTTACCTGAATCAACACCAACTGGGCCAAATAATTCATTGAGTTGAAAAGCCAGTTCTGGGGGTAATGCCAATTCCAGACAGTCTATGGTCAGAGATTTGGCCATCCCTGGCATGGGATTCAATATCTCAGTTTTATCTTCTTCATTAACTCCAACTGACAAGCTATTTCCTGCCATTAGAATTTTCTCCATTTCCTGTTCATCTACATTCATAAATTCTTCAGAGTTCACAAATTTCACATAATCTTTTGGAAGATTTTCATTTTTCTTTATTTCCAAAGAGTCAGTAAAGTAAACTTCTTCATTTAATTCAAGATTTGAAGTACTTGATACAGAGTTTAAAATATCTGATAAATTTAAAGAAGAACGCATACCATCTTCAGTCTCTGCCGCTACTAGACTGTTCTCTATTTCACTCACATCTTTAGGGGTAGCGGATTTTAGAATAACTGGAAGAGACTGCTTGAAGCTACATAAACCTGATAGTTCTACCTGGCTGTTAGGAAGTATTTCACTATTACTCTTCAGATCTACAGCAGCATTAGGAAATACATTTGTTATTGATCCAAGCTTTTCAGGAGTTATGGCTCTTATTTCTGCCTGCTCTGAGTTTAACTTTTCAGCATTATAGCTAGATTGTGAATTAATATTACTGATACAGATTCCAGGACTAATTTCTGGCACAAAAGAATTAGAATCCTCTACTGTTTCTCTTTGGCTAATAATTTCCTTCAAATTCAATCCCATAGAAAATGGTCCAACTTGTGATTCATCATATGATTTTTGGAAATTGTCTAATTCAGTATCCTCACATAATTTAGTTTCAGAATCCAACAGAAGACTTGTGGCCCAAATAATATCTTTATTACACCTTTCATATAAATCTTTTAAGGCTTCTAATGAAAAAGATCCAAACAGCTTACAAAGGATGTTAAGATTTTCAGATTCATCAGCACTGGTAAGTTCACTTTCTTCAACATACGTGCTTTTATCATACATTACCCTATATGGAATTGTCTCTTGAACATTTGACTTTGTGTTAATATTGAAAGCTTTTGGTTTAAATCCATCTAATCTTCCTATTAATACTTTGATAGAATCTGAAACACTGATTTTATTCTTTTCTATTTTCCATAACAGAGCAAAATCCTGTGGTTCAGTCTGGGTACATGTGCCTACTTCTATTCCGGGGACTCCTCTAGGCATTTCCCCTGGAAATTCAGCTAGAATTTCTGGCCCTACCACTCCAGTAATGGTTGCTGTATTACTAGTGAAAGTTAGAGGCAATGTGTGCTGCCCATGAATCATTTTACTTAGATAAGTTTGATTCTCCTGGGTCATTTCACTGGGTATCATGTCAGCACTTTGTAGAGTGGAGCTCCCCAACAATTTTAGTTCTTTAGGGCATGTGCCCCAACAGGCTTGTGTTGTATATAAGGATATTTCATTCATATTATCATTAGTTCCAAATTCTAGGTTGGGTTCACTTAAACCAGCCTTTGGCATTTTTGATCTATGCTCTCTCTGAGCTAAAGAATCAGATGAAGGCCAGTCACCCACAATATTAAATGAGTTTTTGTCAGGATTTTTATAAGTATCATATTTACAGCTATTGAGAAATTCTGAAGAATCATCACACTGCGACTTCCTGCCATCATCTACACTTTCATATGGAGATCCTTGTTGTTGGATATGATCTGTAATCATGGACACACTATTATCTGATACTTTGCGTGACTGAGGGCGACTATACTTTTTGTCACTTTGTATAGATGAAGCTTTTTCAGATTTTCGGTTCCTTTTTGTTCTCTGACCAATAGTCTTATCAACTGGCCAATCACCAACAAAATTCGATAGCTCATGTCTTGGAAACTTTTCTGAAGGTGATTTGCTTTTTTGTTTCCCAAAGGCCTTTTTCTTTACTGTTGTTCTTTCTTCTAATATTTCACCAGGTGAAGATTTTTCATTTTGAAGTGGTCCAGTATTTGCCAGATCGTAGTCTTGATTATTTTCACCAGAGCAAATACTTGGTGATACTCTATCTGCATCAGTTTTAATACACTGTTTTTCAGATGTCATTTCTACTTGCTCTTCTTTTTCTCTCTTGTCTGCTACTTGAACTTTGCTTCCAGAGTCTGAAAGATAGATGTGTGCAGCTTCCTGAATGAACTGACTCTGAGTGTTATGATGTATACCACTTATTTCTTTCCTTCCTTTGCTTATATCTGCATGGGGGAGATATGTAATATTCTCAGGCAACACCGTTTCTTTGGTCACTTCAGGATTCTTTTCTTCAATTAACTCTAGATGCTTCAGTGATGAGGATAAAACATTTTCTTCTTTTTCAGAGGTAATATCTTCATTGTCTCTTGGGCTGTAAGATATTTTTTAAAAGTATTATAAGGAAGTTTCTTAGTGTTGGCATTAATACCATGATTTAAGAAGTATTCGACTGAAAGACAGGGCACTTACCACTTATTCTAAAAAATTCTAAAAATAAACTACATTAAAATTACAAAAGCCATGCTAGGGATATAGTTCAGTGATGAAGTGCTTGCCTAGCATACAGCAATTCCTGCATTTAATCCCCTGTGTTGCTGGGGTTGTGTCTCAGCGGTAGAGTGCTCGTCTAGCACGGGCGAAGCCCTGGGTTCGATCCTCAGCACCACATAAAAATAAATAAAGGTAATCCCCTGTGTAACACCAAAAAAAATTTTTTTTTCCTTTAAAACAAAAGCTAATGTTGATCTTCCCTAATATACTATGAACACATTCATTTGTTGTAGCCTCAAACACTTAGCTAGCATGAGGCTTAACACATCTGAAGCAAATTCTTTGAACTGAATAATAAACACGAGATTTTTCAGTAAAGGTATTCATTATGCACTAAATATTAAAGTCAAGGATGTAAATTTGTTCCCAGGAGAGCATACCACCTCCCCAGCTTCTTTCAAACCTATTTAAACTTAGCATATGTAAAACTAGGTCTACCTCTATATCTATATCTGTCATGCATTACTAAAGCAGCTTCATTTACAAAGTCACAAAGAGCCAACCAAGATGATTTACATGATTAAAAGAAATTAGAGAAAGGGGAAGAGATTTCATTTGAGATGGCATCTGTTAAATGTTTTAAAATCATGCTTGATGTTAATTTCAGACTCAGAACACTTTTGCCTAATCTTACACTTTCAACTTCAGTGATTTTTCCTTATTTAATTTGTCCATTTATCCTCCTTTCTTTCTTTATTCTAGGAACCCTCAAAGTCCCAACTCTCCCATGAAGCCTTCCTAAGTGGAATCATACCAGACATTCATTGAACTTTCTATGTGCCAGATTCTATTCTTTACAGTATCCTATGAGGAGAGTGTTGTTACTGTCATTTAGTAATAATGAGATAAAGTAGAATTTGTGATCTATCAAAGATTAGAGCTTTGGGATTTGGGCCTAGGAAATATAGCTCAAGTCCATGCTCTTAACCAACCACTTTGCAATACCATTTCTCAATTAAAAATCATTTATGAGTTTTCTCTTCTCCACTCCCAACTCCCTTTTTTTGGGGGGGCGGGGGAGTACCAGGGATTGAATTCAAGGGCACTCAACCACCAACCACTGAGCCACATTCCCATCCCTATTTTGTATTTTATTTAAAGACAGGGTCTCACTGAGTTGCTTAGCATCTCGCTGTTGCTGAGGCTGACTTTGATTCTCCTGTCTCAGCTTCCTGTGCTGCTAGGATTACAGGTGTGCACCACAGCGCCTAGCTCCAACTTCCTTTCAACAGAGCCTCTCCATCTTTTATCATCATAAAATATGCATAATTAAGACCTCTACATATATCTAGGTTCTTCTTTACTCACTTATTTATCAAATATTCATGTACTATAAATACTTAGTAGAATCAGTACTGATATGGTTTGGCTAAGTGTTCCCCAAAGGTCATGAGTTAACCTTAGTTCTCTGAGTGGCACTACTAAGTAATATGGAACATTCAGGTGAGAAGGCAAGGTTTTTTTGTTGTTGTTGTTTTTATTTTATTTTTTAACCATACGATTTATTTTTATTTTTTTTTTAGTCATACATGATACCAGAATGTATTTTGACATATAATACATACATGGAATGTACATACATCAATCATATTGTCTATTCTATTCTGCTGCCGAGAAGGTAAGTTTAACGGGATATTTCAAGTACACACCAGAGTATGTACTTGAACGAGATTGTGGGACAGCCCCCGACCCCATCCTTGACTCTTCTTCCTCTTTTGCTTCCTGGCTATAAGGTAATCAGTTTTGCTCCTCCACACAATCCCACCATGATAAACTGCCTCACCCAGGGCAAAAGCAATAGGGCAACCAAGCCAAAAGTAAACCTTTTCTGTTCATTAGATGATTGTCTCACATATTCTGTTATAGTGAAAAGGAAGCTGACTAACACAAGTATATCCTAGATAGTAAACTTCCAAAGGGCTACAACATATATAACTCAGTAAAAGTATATCATGAATAATTAACTTTTATGAGACTAGCTTGAAAGAATATTTTCAGTAAAATATTAGAAAATTAAGATGTGATTTGGATATACATAAAATAACAACAGTGAAGAGATAGGGAAACACTGGAATAGTAGAGCACATTACATAAAGAAGACAGATGTATTCATAGTACAATCACAAATTCACAAAACTCTAAATACAATGAAAAAACTTTTATATTATCTTTCACATGAACTTTCACTTCTCTAACTTAACCTCAGCTAACTCCAGAGGAGACTGTACCTAAACCCTTAAAAATAACAAAAGTCTACCTCATTTTTAAAGTTAATCAGCAGTAATTTTACAAGCTCCAAAAGTAACCGGTTTCAAAAAATATCATGTTTCAAATTGAATTTTTTTACATAAGGCATTTTAACCTACCTGGAACTTCTATCCTCACAAGAATATGCACATAATTCAATACGTTCAATTTTCTCTGGAACTGAAGAACTCATGATTATTGGCACTGAAACAAAACGTTGATAGTGGTCTAACATTCTTGTTATTTTTTCTTTGCTTATCCCATGAATATTACGCCTAAAAATTCCAGGAAAGAAAAGGTGCAAAGGATATTGGTAATTGATTTTTTTTTTTTAAGAAATATAATGTCTAGGAAAACAATGATACATATACATTTCTCTTTTATTCCTTTTTTTTCCTTCACTACTGGAGATGGAACTCAGGGCCTTGAGCAGACTAGGCAAGAATTCTACCACTGGGCTATTATCCCCATTAATGATACATTTCTAACACATAATCTTAAACTGTTTATTATGATGTAATATATGCTATTTGATTTTAATTTTCATTTTTGTCAGACTTTTTCATAAATTGCCATTTTCTTAATCATCCCATACAATATTTTCCAAATACCCTTTATCAATTTGTGAAAAAGGAGGTTCCAATAACTTTAAAAGAATTTGTTCTCAAGTCTGCAAAAAATCTCATAAGCATGTGACTGTCATTTCAAGGTATTAACGAACTATTAACTAGCAAGTAACAGACATCACATTATAAAAGTTTCCCCTTGTGCCAGTATGACAGACCAGATGCCCCAAACTGCCCTCCTACTATAATAAAACTAGATCCCAAGTAAATTAAAATGAACATGTTTTATTAAATTTTAAGTTCAAGCAAAGAACAGACTCTGGATATCCAAATATGAAGTTATTTGTGTTTTCACTCATGGTGGCTTATTTCTTCATGTGTTTTTGTTAGTGAGCTCATATTTAGTTGAAACTAAAACATGGAAATCCTTAGCCCTTAAACTAAAGGAGCTTTCATTCATATGGCATCTGGATCTGCATCTGCCCAGGAGGTGAGATGGTTATGCTTTAGTCACTCAAGTGTCTTGTCTTAATGAAAACATGTCAGCTACAACTCTTCTATCCTAGGTTAGAGTCAAGGTTTCACGTCTGAATCCCAGGGCTAATGTTACTGTTTGCCTCTTGGATGAATCTGGCTTTCATATTTACCTACCTCGATCTTGTCTGGTTTCAGATCACAGAGAAGCAAAGAGATAGAAAATATGAAAGACAGGTTAAGAAACATAGACATAGAGGACAGAGCAAAAAGGTCTAGTACATATCTAATTCAAGTCCCAGGAAGAGAAGAGAGTGTATGGGACAAAATCAACTTAAAGAAAAATGCCGAAAATTTTTCAGAACTGATGAAAGATACCAATCCCCTGATTTCAGGAGCCAAATTCCAAACAAGATAAAAATAAGAAATCCATACTAGAAAACCAGAACTGAAACTGTCATATACCAAAGACAAAGAGATGATATTAAAAAGCAGCCAGAATGTTTTTTAAAAAATTTTTAAGGTAGTCATCTACAAAGGAACCAACAATTAGAATGACAGACAGCTAAGTTAACAAAAATAGAAATGAGAAGAGAGTTAAATGTCTTCAAAAACAGAAAATAACTATCAACCTAGAATATACAGCAAAAGTATCTTACAAGAATGAAGACAATAAAAGGATTTTCAAATTAAAATTTAAAAAAAAGAGTTTGACACCAAGCATACCTTCATTGTAAAGAAAATTTTTAAAGAAAAAAAATTCAGGCAGAGGGAAATTCCCAGATGAAAGGTCTACAATGCAAGAAAAAAATGAAGCCCAAAGCAATAACTACATGAATAAGTAAAAACAAATGCTGCCAATATATACTAAACAATGATACCATGTAAGTTGGATGGGAAGTAAGTATCATGGTTACAATGTCTTAAAGTTCTTGTACTTATGAAGAAGAAGGCTAAGAAAATGGTTTTAAAGTTTGTATGATAAAACATATCAAGTAACTATCAAAAGAATAAATATAGTGTATATAATCTACAAATTGATAAAGTAAAAAAATGAATACAAAATGTAGATTTAATCAAAAAATTCTAAAATAAAGCATGATAGGAGAAAAAAACAACTATATAATTTCTTGTGACAGAACAGTCACAGAAAAGGTAAGATAAAGAGAAAGCACAGTGAGACAGTAAGAAGGATGATCAATTATATGAATTAACAAAACCACAAAAATAACTAAGTTTATGAGTTAAAAGCCAAGATGGACGGAATAGAATTTTTAAAACCTGACCATAGCAGTTACGAGAGATACATCTAAACATAAAGACATTGAAGGGTTGAAAGCACAAGTATGAAAAAAGAAACACTAAAATACTAAAAGGAAGCTGTCATAGTTCTATTAATATTAGACAAATTAAACTTCACAGCATAATTACTATTAAAAATGAAAGAAAAAAATCACTAGAAAGGTACAAAAGTTTCTTTCATTAGGGTGATATCAAAATCTTAAGCACCTATGAACAAATACTCTCAGTATATATATACAGCAAACTTAGGAAGAAGGATAAAGAGAAACTGACATGTTCAACATAATAGAGGAATATATAAACACACCTCTCTCACACTGGGAGATTTCACCATCACTTTCCCAAATACTAATCTATCAGGCAGGAAAAAAAAAAATAGCAAGCTATAGGTGATGTTAAGCACCATTAAGTAATAAGCATAATTAATGGATATGCTAACATACTATAACCAGTATACATTCTTATCAAACATGGAATATTTATTAAATAATGACCATTGGGCCATAACACATTTTAAAATATCAAAGAATTAATATGATACAAACCATGTAATCTGATCTCCTATATGTAAATTGAAAATCAATTTTTTAAAAAGGATAACACCTATCCAGAAATTTAAAAACACAGTTCTAAAAACCCAAGAATTAGAGAATAAAATTAACCATATGCAATTTAGAAAACAAATAAGAAAAAAGAAAGCATTATATATTAAAATTCTGATACCAGATAAAGTAGCACACAGGGAAATATATGGCATCAAATGCTCCTATCAGAAAATGACTTGTATGTTCAGGTAATGAAGTTTTAAAAATAACAGAAAAAGCAAAGAAAACAGATATTTTTAAAAAGCAAAGAAGGTAGAATAAAGAGAATCAGAAATTAATTAAACATAAAACAACTTACAATAGAAAAGATCAACCCCAAGAGTTGTTTATTTGAAAGGCTAATAAAATAAAATGTAACAAAAAAGAAATCTGATCTCTAGTGAGAATAATCAAGAAAAAAAAGGAAGATCCTTTAAACATACTAGGGTTGAAAGGAGAAACTTAATTGTTAATGCAGCAGAGATGTAATAAAAGTCTTAATAATTTTGGTGTGATGGAAAAATTTTAATTGAACCTTCTCACAAAGAAAACACCAGATCCAGACAGTTTTATAAGTAAATTTTATCAAATGCCTGAACTTAGATAAACTAGAATGAGAAAAAGAGACAATACTTCCCAATTAATTTTGTGGACCTAAAACTATTGATAGCAGCCAAGGCCAGCCAAAGAAGGAAAAAATGCAGGTCAATCTCACTCATTTATCCGGATGCAAAAATCCTAAATGGACTACAGAAAACCAAATCCAGTAAAGTATCAAAAAGATAATTAAAAAGAAAAATACAGATATGTGCTACAACATGGATGATCCTTGTAAATATTATGCTAAGTAAAAGATGCCAGACACAAAAGGCTATAGTTGTACAACCATTTATATATGATGTCCAAACAGGAAAATCCATAGAGACAGAAAACAGATTAGTGGTTGTCAAAAGGAGGGGGTAACTACTAGTAATTGCTAGCAGTTACAGGGTTTCTTTTTGAGGAAATGGAGGAATTAGTGGTAATGGTCATGTAACATTGTGAATAGTAAAGTTATGTTGTCCTTTAGTTAGTATTAAAGTTAGTTAAAACTACCAAGAGAAAACAGCATGACCAAAATTAAGTTAGGCCTATCTCTACAGAAATACAGAGAATAAAGCAAAACACATTGTATGTCCATGTCCTAAGTAACATTTTTACTCATCAAGCAACCAAATAAAAAAGTATTATCCTAAGAGGTGAGAGAGTGAAAATACTTGGATGTGACATTTACTACCTTTTCAATCCTTACCACCCCCTTCAACATTCTAACTCTGCAATATAAGAACCTCCCAGTAGCACACAGTTCAGCTGTGCCAAATCCTAGTCAGTTCTCATTTTAGATATTTATGTTACTATTAAAAGGAAATGAAGTACTACTACATAAAACAATTGAAATTTTTTTGACTATAAACACAATTTTAGAAACAAAAAACCTTTATTAAAAATGGAAAAACCCCATAAACAATACAAAATTTGTTATCAGTTTCTAAGTAGCAAAGCTGAAATCTAGTCAATTTTACTTCATTTATATTCCGTAAGAGAAAAAAAAAATCTACATGGATTTTTCTGTTACTGACATGAAATGAAATAACAAACATTTTAGGTAGCCTCTAAGTTTTACCTTGCAAGCTCCTTCGGTTTGAATTTCCACCATGTGTCCGGTTCCCGGAAGAGGACCTTATATTTATGTTTCTGAGACTACAAATGAAAAGACAAGAACACTTTAAAACAATTATTTCTATGAAATTATTATATACATTGTTTCTAAACTCATAGCATGTTAAAAAATGAAAGAACCCCAAAGATTATCTGATGGGTATGTTAAACTGATAAAATGCACAATTTATTTGACCCAGCAATTAACTTACAGAAATTTATGTTACTGATAGCCAATATAAGAGAACAAAGATAGATAAACACACACACACACACAAACACACACAACACATACACATATGTTAGGATATCCAGCACTATCATTTGTACTAGTGGAAAATACAAATAACTCAGTGAATATTAACTTGGATTTGGCTAAGTAAATGAAGGTATAACCATAAAATAAAGATATTATGCAGTATTTTCTAAAATTTCACATGTTAATAAAAGAAATCCTTAATATAAATTGCTAAGAAAATTAAGACAAAGAATTTTTCACTTGGTTACAAAAGAATTATTCACACATTTGTATGTGCACAGAAACTTCTAGAAAGAGTGTCAAAATATATAGAGCATTTAACTCTAAGGAAAACTTCAGGCACTGTTTTTTGCAATTTGAATATTTATCATATATGTGCATAACTTTTATAATTTTGAAACTCTTTTAAGTAATAGTTTATAACATTTTCAAAGCGCTAATATAGGTATAGACTAAGAGCCAACCTCTATACTTGTACACAAGATCTAGCCCCTCTTTCCTAACCAAAAATAACTGAGAAGGGCAATTCTCCCTCTTGTGCCATCAATAAATCTTCCTTCCCTCCTTAATCAATCCCATAAGTATATGAAACTCCATCCAGTTATTTCTCCCATTTTACTCTTGTCTCTACTTCCACTGTCAGCTATATCCCTATTTTCCTGCTCCCTTTTGTTTAAAAAAAAAAAAGTCTCAAAATTATTACCATCTTTTCTTTCTCTAATTACTCTATTCTAGCCTCTCTTCAGGCCTTACCAATAGGCATCAAACAAGCAAATAACTTCCACATTGAAAAATGCTATGATTCTCAGTTCTCTCTCACTTGACTCTAAGCCACATCTAACACACTTACTTTATGACACACTCTTCTATTTCATACTCTTCTCCGTCTTTTCTATGCTTGCACTTTCTTTTCAGCTAATGATAATCTCCAGTTATACCAGACAAAGACTAACCTTAATGTCACAATTGATTGACTCCTCCTCCTCTATCCCACCAGTACTAGGAATTGAACCCAGGAACTTGCAAATGCTAGGCAAGCTTTCTACCACAAAGTTATATTCCCAGTCCTTTTTGGGTGGAGGACGGGGAAGACAGAATATCACTAAGTGGCCCAAGTTGACCTCAAGATCCACCTCAGCCTCCCAAGTAGCTGGGATTGCAGGTGTGTGTCACATGTTCAGCAGCACTCCTCTTTCTATCATACATCAATCCAATAAAAAATTCAGTTTGCTCTACTTTCAAAACATATCCCCAAATCTATTTTCATTAGTGCATTACAGAGATCCTATAATATTCAGATGTCACTACTCTGTTCAGAGCTCTCTATTATGGACTGAAAGTTTGTCTATCCCCAGAAATCATATGTTGAATCAAAGAACTGCACAATGTGACAGTATTTAGAGATAGGACCTTTAAAGAGGTAATTAAGGTTAAATAGGGCTAGAAAGGTGTGGCCCTCATCCAACAGGAATATAAGACACCAAAGTGCTCTCTCCCTCCATCATGTGAAAGTACAATGAGAAGATAACCATCTTCAAGTCAGGAAGACAGCCTTTATTAGAAACCAAACTTATAGGAGCTTAATCTAGGACTTCTAACCTTCAAAACTGTGAGAAAATAAATCTCTGTTGTTTAATCTAACTGGTCTATGGTATTTTGTTATGGAAGCCCCAAACTAAAACACCCTACAGATCACTCAAGGTAAAAAAATGCAAAATCCTTATAGTGATTGAGTCCTTAATAATCGGCCCTGCCATCACCCCAATATTCATTACATCTCCCAATATCCATCCCTTCAATTTTATGACAAGATACCCAAAGTGGTCATTGCTATTTTCTTCCATTCCAAACAGAAAAGCCCAAAAATCAACCCAGACATGAAACAAGGAAGTAATATAATGTCCTATAATGTGCCTACTCCTATCTCCTCACCTCAGCACCAAATTTCAAACAACTTATTCTACGTCTGGCAATAGGTTGGGTGTCTTATTACCTAAAGGGGTGTCATGTAGCAACACACAAGAGAGAATGTGAATTTTAAAATCTTTTCAACTCTTATATGATCAGGTAAATGTTATATTATTTGGGAGCATTCTGGCTGCCTTACATCAAGCTTCCCAAAGAGAAGCAATATATATGTTTAAAGCAAAGTAATAAGTTGTGGCAGTTGTCAATAAGACTACTTGACTGCTCCCTAGTTATCCTCAACTCATTACTTAGCTACTTTTTGTGAACGAACAGGCAAAGTGGTAACAGATTGTTCTCTCTGCTCTATTCCACTTCCTGACAGCTCTCTTACCACAAAGTGATCCCCTTCTCTACAGTAATTACTGTATCTACTTTTTGAAGAAAATATGAGTGTGGCACTCCATGATAAGGTGGCATCCTTTATATATTTCAAAGTGCAACTGGGAAGAGCCAAGCAATCAATACAGAAAAATAGTTTCTATATTTTCAATTATTATATAAGAACAAAGGAAAAAGAAAAAATTATAAAAGCCTGAGGCCTAAAAAAAAAAAAAAATCAGAAATTCAGCAAGGAGAGAAGCCTTCTCTATTTTCTACATAGGAAAATAAAGTGTTTAAAACCTTGGGTTTTTCCCACTCCTGGGGATTGAACCCAGGGCCTCAGGAATGCTAGGCAAGCATTCTACCACTGAGCTCTACATCCCCAGACCATTTCATTTTAAGATAGAATCATTCAAAGGTTGCCAAGGCTGGCCTCAAACTTGGGATCTTCCTGCCTCAACCTCCCAAGAAGCTGAGATGTCTAAGAAGACAGCAGGAAGCAAAGGAAGCCCTATGGAGAAATCACGTAAGGTCAAGGGAGATAGTATACTCCTATGATAAACATATTAGCCCAGAAATTAGAACTCCTGGGGCCCAAAAGTAAACCAAATTTCAGCTCCCAGTACCCTAAAATCAAATCTGTTTCCTCTACTGCCCCTACACAGAAAAAAAAATCTCATTTGCTTTCAAAAGACACAACAATTTTCTTCAGAAGGGTAAAGAATCATACCTTCAAAATAGTACAAGTGCACTAGGTACAGCAAAGGAGACAAACTGAGTCTGGATGTGTTAAGAATATAAAAGAGGAAACACAACACTCATTCACAACAGTAGAAATTGCATGTGCTAATGATGGAGAAATAAACCAAAAAATTACCCCACATTCACAAAAGCTTCATTTATGGATTTACTCAATTAATACATAATTAATATATGCCAAGTATAGTGAGTGCTATGCCCTAAAGATCCAATGACAAATAAAACAATGGTTCTACCCATGAGAATAAATTGATGGCTTAAAGCCAAATCCAGCACAAAAGCCAATATTTGTACAGCTTGGAAACTCAGAATAGTTCTTTACATCCTTAAAGGAAAAAGGAGTAGAAAGGACAAGAGAGGAAGAAACAGAGATTATTTATGGCCCTCAAAACCTAAAATATTTACTGTTACTTTATAAAAAAAGTTAGTCTGATCCATGGCCTACTGATAAAAACTGTATGCTTCATGTTACAAAAGAAGTCTCAACATACTTTATATACAACCAAAAATATGAAAAATTGTGCTATATACATGTAATAAGAATTGTAATGCATTCTGCTGTCATGTTTTTTTTAAATCAATAAAAAAAGAAGTAAGTCAGGGTATTATGGGAGTAGAAAAAGTATCTAACTGGCTTTTAACAAGTTAATGACAGCTACAGAAGAGATGACCCCAAAGATGGGCAAAAAAGAACAAGTAAATGTAAACCAGGCAAATGAGGTAGGAAGGTGACGTAGGTGTGCTTCAGGCAAAGGAAGAAGGGATAGGTATTAAGGAGAATTTGGCAAATTTGGCAAATAGATAATAAAGTTTATAGAATTCTGAATTTCTCAGAATAGCTAAAAAAGTTAGTTTTTGGTTAATTTGTAATTTAATAAACATGATCTTTTCATAAAATATATCAAAACAAAAAAACATTCTCAGAAATTAACATCTGAATTACAGAATTTAAAAATTAAATAAATTTACTAGCTTATGGAAAAACCCAGCTGAATTGATTGTGCTATTTTTCTTATTTTACCAATAACCAGAAAACTCAGTTAGAGAAAGAACAACCTGAGATTCTCAAGGGCTTGAGATTTACTTGGGTAATTAATATCCTCCAATGTTTCCAAACACACTATTTTAAACTTAAGAAAACTTATGGTACAAACCAAAGCAACATATGGCTTCATTTCCCAGGCCTGTAGGTTTGTATTGTCTATTATTATTGGTGATATCTTCTTCTCAAATGCTTCTTTAGCTGAAAAATACAATAGAAAATGACAAATCACCTTTAATAATATTAAGTATTATCTTGATTTTTAAAAAATCTGATCTTGTTTACATAATTTGAAAACCATAGACATAACCTAATTTTACTCACTACTTGACTTCTAAATACCACTTTTGAGGACATGCAAAGCTAAAGTACAGGTCAACGTTGAATAATAAATACTGAAGCTATGTAATCAGAAAAAATTATATTATGCAAAAAAACACATGGACTGGACACAATGGCGCACATCCATGATCCCAGCAGCTCAGGAGGCTGAGGCAGGAGGATTGAAAGTTCAAAAAAAGACAGCATCAGCAACTTAGCAAGGCCCTAAGCCACTTAACAAGATCCTGTCTAAAATAAAAAATAGAAAGGGCTGGAAATATGACTCAGTGGTTAAACGCCCCTGGGTTCAATCTATGGTACCAAAATAAATAAATAAATAGATAAAAACTACATGGTAGGCTATATTAGATTTGGGAACAAAAAAGGACTTTAGTGGAAATGTTAAAATCCAAATAAAGTCTGGAGTTTAATTAATAGTAATGTACCAATATTAATTTGTTTTGATGAATATACCATAGTTATATATAAGATGTTAACATCAAGCAGAAATGGTTGAAGGATATATAGAAGCTCTCTACTAACCTTCCAACTTTTTGATAAATCTAAAATTATTCTAAAACAAACCAAAAAAATCATGTATGTCTCTAAAAAGTACCAAAAAACCCATAAATACGGGCTGGGGTTGTGGCTTAGTGGTAGAGTGTTCACCTAGCACGCGTGAGGCACTGGGTTCAATCCTCCGTACCACAAATAAAGATATTGTGTCAAAAGAATAAAATCATGGCATTTGCAGGTAAATGGATGATGGTGGAGAATATAATGCTAAGCGAAGTTAGCCAATCCCCCAAAAACAAATGCGAAATGTTTTCTCTGATATAAGGAGGCTGACTCATAGTGGGGTAGTGAGGGGGAGCATGGGACGATTAGATGAATTCTAGATAGGGAAGAGGGGTGGGAGGGAAAAGGAGGGGGCAGGGGACTAGCAAGGGTGGTGGAATGTGATGGACATCATTATCCAAAGTACATGTATGATTGGGTGTCAACATACTTTATATATAAACAGATAAGAAAAATTGTGGTATATATGTGTAATAAGAATTATAATGCAGAAAAAAAAGTGCATGTATAAAGGCATGAATTGGTGTGAACATACTCTATATGTGTAATAAGAACTGTAATGCATTCCACTGTCTTGTATTTAAAAAAATAAATAAAATCAATAAAACTAAAAAGATATTGTTTCAACCTAAAACTAAAAAATAAATATTTTTTAAACCCCATAAATACATATAAAATATGTAATGATTTGAAATAAAGAAAACATTATGATATACTATTGGGGGGGTTGTTTACTGAGGATTGAACCAAAGGATGCTTAACAACTGAGCTACATTCCCAGCACTTTTTATTTTTTATTTTGAGACAGGATCGCACAAAGTTGCTTAGGGCCATGCTACATTGCTGGGATTGGCTTTGAACTTGCAATGCTCTGGGATCACAGGCATGTGCCACCACGCCTAGCTATCACATACTATTGTAAAGGATTTTTTTATGAAACTAACTTTTTTCTCAAAGAATTAGACCATTCAGGAAATTAACACTGCACCACAACAAGAAAGTCTACAAGAAAATTATTTGTAAATTTTAAATGTTCTGCCAAGTCTCTTACAATTCAATAATGAAAAGACAAATACAAATACTTTAAAATGGGCAAAGGCTATTAACAGACATTTCTCCAATCAAAACTACAAATGGCCAATAAATACACAAAAGGATGTTCAACATCTTTAGCCACCAGGGAAATGAAAATCAAACCACAATGAAATACCTTCACAATCACCAAAATAACTATCATCAAAAAAACAGATAATAGGACTGGGGCTGTAGCTCAGTGGCAGAGCACTTGCCTAGCATGCGTGAGGCACTGGGTTCATTCCTTAGCACCGCATAAAAAAATAAACAAATAAAATAAAGGCATTCTGTCCATCTAAAACTACAAAAAAAAAATTTTTTTTAAAGACAAATAATCATTGTTAGTGAGGATATGGAGAGGTTGAAAACTATTAGTGGCAATGGAAATGAAACAGCTACTTTGGAAAACAGGCTAGAAATTCCTAAAAAGATTTGACACAGACATGCATGTTTACAACAGCATTGTTAATATAGCCAAAAGGAAGCAACAAACAAATGTCCATCAATTGACAAAATGATGAATAAAATGTGACATATTCATATAATGGAAACTTAACTATAAAGAATGAAGTACTAAAAAAAAAAAAGTATTAACACGTGCTACAGTGTAGATGAATCTTGAAAACATTATGCTAACTAAAAGAAGCCAATCACAAAAGACCACATATTACATGACTCAATTTATATGAAATATTCAGAACAGGCAAATCTATCAAGATAGAAAATAAATGGAAGGCTTGGAGTTGTGGCTCATTGGTAGAGTGCTTACCTAGCACCTGTGAGGGGCACTAGGTTCCATCCTCAGCACCACATAAAAATAAATAAATAAATAAAACAAAGTAAAAAAAAAAAAAAGAACGTCGGTGCTCAAGAATGAGACACACTTTAAAAAAAAAAAGGTAAACAGAAAAAATAAGGAATGACTGCTAATGGGTACAGAATCTTTTTGAGGTAATAAATATGCTCTAAAATTGATTGTGGTAATGGGTACACAACTTTGAATATTAAATTCTACTAAAAACAATTAAATTGTCCATGTTATGGTTTGGATGTGAGGTGTTGCCCAAAAGCTCATGTGTGAGACAATGCAAGAATATTCAAAGGAGAAACGATTGGGTTGTGAGAGTATTAACCCAATCAGTGAATTAATCCCCACAGGATTACCACCAAGTGGTAACTGAAGTGGTAGGGTATAGCTAGAGGAGGTAGGAATTGGAAGTGTGGCTTTGGGGTATATATTTGTATCTGGCAAGTGAAGACCTCTCTCTGCTTCCTGATCTTTAGCCACCAGGGAAATGAAAATCAAACCACAATGAAACCTCATGTGAGCTGCTTCCCTCTGCCACACTCTTCCACCATGATGTTCTGCCTCACCTGGAGTCCCAAAGAATAGAGTCTAATGTCTATGGATTAAGACCACTGAAACCATGAGCCCCCAAGTAAACTTTTCCTCCTCTACAATTGTGCTGATCAGGTCTTTTAGTTGCGGCAGCGAAAAAGCTAACTAAAACAGTCCAATTTAAATGAGTGAATTGTAAGACCCATAGATTTTTATCCCAATAAAGTTGCTTAAAAGAATTTGGGGGCCGGGGCTGTAGCTCAGTGGTAGAGTGCTTGCCTAGCACGCATGAGGCAATGGGTTTGATCCTCAGCACCATATAAAAATAAATAAATAAAATAAAGGTATTGTGTCCACTTACAACTAAAAAATATTAAAAGAATTTGGGTAGCTGGATGCAGTGGCATACACCTGTAATCCCAGGGGCTCAGGAGGCCAAGACAGAAGGATCATGAGTTCAAAGCCAGCCTCAGCAAAAGAGAGGCACTAAGCAACTCAGTGAGACCCTGTCTCTAAATAAAATACAAAACAGAGCTGGGGATGTGGCTAAGTGGCCAAGTCCTCCTGAATTCAATCCCTGGTATTCCCCCACCAAAAAAAGAATTTAGCCTGTGTTATAAATGTGTTATTTCATCATCTTCATCATCATCATTACTGCTGTGGTTGTTGCTGTAATAAGGCTATGTTGACCCAGTAACATCCTCTTTTATAGACAAAGATACTAGGCCTTGGAGTAAATAAATAATTTGTACAAGGTTACACAGCTAGTAACTGGCAAATCCAGACTTGATTCCCAGTACATTATACTGCCTCTTTTACTTTTAGCTGTGTTCATAATTTCATATTCCTGAGTTCTCACTTTAATTTTTAGCTCAAGAAAGAATATGTAAAAACTTCACAATGCCCAAGGATGCCAAACTCAAGTATCGCCTTCATAGTGCATTTATTATAAAAGAAAAACTAACTAAAATACCATCTGCATGTTTTAATAGAAATTCCCACACATAATTCAAATTATGCAAGTCATTAAACATTTAATAATAAAGTCACCTTCAGTGAATTGGCTGCTGTACTAAAAAGGAAACTAAAGTTTCACCTATGATCATATTTTAGTAGATGATTTTGAAGAGAGCCATTTTTAGACTATCCTCTATAAAAATTAAACCACTATAGGGAAGATCAATGGTTACAAGGCAAATTCCATTTTAGAAAACAAGAACCAGGGGCTGGGGATATGGCTCAAGTGGTAGCGCGCTGGCCTGGTATGTGCAAGGCACTGGGTTTGATCCTCAGCACCACATAAAAATAAATAAAGATATTGTGTCCACCTAAAACAAAAAAAAAAAAGAAAACAGGAACCAAAGCATACCAGATACTGTAACCTCCTTGAGCAACTGAGATTCAAGCAGAAAAGTAGATTTACTTCTGACAAGATCCCTATGGATTAAATACAACTTAAATGTGCCATACAATATTTCAAGCATTTATGAAAGGTATTTTAATCCTGTGAAATAAAACTATCTTGTTTAACTCTTACTACATACTATGTTTTTGATATGCGACGTCCGCCCAAAAGCTCCTATTAATTCAGGAATGTTCAGAGGTAAAATGCTTGCCTTATGAGATCTGTGACCTAATCAGTCCATCCTAGTTTAAATGGAATGACTACATGGTAACTGTAGCAGATGGGGCATGGCTGGAGGAGGTGGGTCACTGGAGGCATGTCCTGGAAGGGTTATTCTTCCTGTGAACCTCCCTCATCCCATTTCCTGTCCCCCGCCATGATGAGCAACTTTCCTCCACTGGGCCTTCCCCACAATGTGTTGCCTCCTCTTGGCCCAGAGCAATGGAGTTAACCATCTATGGACTGTGACTGAGACTTTTAAAACCATGAGACCCAAATAAACATTTCCTCCACTAAGTTGTTCTTGTCAGGTGTATTAGTCACAATGACCAAAAAAGTTAATAAAGCAATATGTAACATAAGCATGTTAACATAATACTATATATATTATATAGTTACAAAATTAAAGTTAACTATAAATTCTTTAAAGTTTTTCAAAATACAAACACTAAGTGAATTTTCTTTTTCTATTACTCTTAATATTACCCAGAATCTGATGTCTATTCTTACCACGATTCTGGTTCCATTCATGTGCTTCTCCTAAGTACTTTACATCGAACTGGTACTGTCCATTTATATAAAAATAATCATCAGTACTAAGAATGACTCCACTTGGATTATCCTCTTGCAAAGTCCTGTGAATGACAAAGGGAGTTATTTTCATTAATTTTCCTTCCAAAATTGCAGTCATAATTCAAATAAAAAATTTAACAACTCAATTTACAAGAGTAAAAACATCGTAATATTCAAAGAAATCATGCCAAAATCCTCTAAGCATAAGTTTGATTCCCAATAAAACTAGCCTAAGGCAGTTTGCTTATGTAATTTTCAGAAATATTTTTGTTATAAAAACTATTATAATTAACTATAAATGTCTGAAGATTAGTACGTTTTTAATTACCAAGAATATCTGACAACTAAAAATGCTTCAGAGCTCAGTCACAAGCATTCCCCTTGTCTGATCACTTGATACACAATTATCTATTTCACCCACCTTAAGAAAGTCATTTCAAAGCAGGCAAGTACTAAGACAGAACTAATATTTAAAAGTAGATGAAGATGGCCAGGCATGGGGGCACTTGCCTATAATCCCACTTACTTGGGAGGCTGAGGCAGGAGGATCACAAATTCAAACTGTCTCAAAAATAAAAAATAAAAAGGACTGGGATGTAGCTCAGTGGTAGAGCATCTCTGGGTTCAATACTCAATAAGAAAGAGGAGGAGAAGGATGAAGAGGAGGAAAAATAGATACAGCTCTCTGCATATTGCTATTAAACAAGTATACCCAAAACATCCAAAATATCATGTTAATAGATATCAATTTAATCTGTTAAGCAAAATTATACAAACTTAAGATAGTTTTGTGGGTAGGTTTTTTATTCCTAACACCTCTTCTAATTCTGGAATTTACCTGCTATATATTTGAGACACACACAAAAAAGAAACAAAAATTGTAGCCACACTTTGAAAACCCTTTCAATCATTTCCCAGTTCCTCTCCTTCCCTTAACTCATTATCAAAACTTCTAAATCCATCTTCCACCTTCATGGGACAACAAAATTGCTTGAGAGTTTTTGTTTGTTTGTTTGTTTTGGTACTGGGGATTGAACCCAGTGGCGTATAACCACTGAGCCATATCCCCAACCCTTTTTTATATTTTATTTAGACAGGGTCTCACTAAATTATTTAAAGCCTCACTGAGTTGCTGAGGCTGGCTTTGAACTTGCGATCCTCCTGTCTCAGCCTCCCAAACTGCTGGGATTACAGGCGTGCACCACCACACCCCACAAAATTGTTTAACTTATCCCTTCATAACCTTCTTTCCAGTAAATCTGAAAGCCCTGTTTTTCCCCTTATTTTTCTTGAGCTCACATACTAGTTTAATGCCGTGGACCACTGTCTCTGAAAAAAACAGCTTCTATGTCTCCACACTATCCTACTTATTTCTCTCTTCATTCAAAAAATAATATTCCTACATTGGGACAAGCACTTTTTTCTCTTCCCATTCTCAAAGTATAGCTGCCTCTGATTTTAAAGCCTCTGAAATCTAGTTCTACAATCCTGTCTCACAGCTCTATACCTTTTAAAATATGGTCCTTCATTCTAATTTCTTTCTCAAAATACAATGCTGTGACTTTCTGCAATATATGCATTATTAAATTGTTTTAATTTTGTTAGGTCAATGAGAACAGTCCATGATTTATCTACAGAAGAATACATTTGTAAATGCATGAATAAAATATGTGAAAATTAGGGTCAGGGTTGTAGCTCAGTGGTAGAGCGCTCGCCTAGCACGTGTGAGGCACTGGGTTCCATCCTCAGCACCACATAAATATGAATACATAAAATAAAAGGTATTGTTGTCCACCTACAACTAAAAAAAAAAATATTTTTTAAAAATGTGAAAACTACTGAAGTCTAGACAAGTAAAAGCTATCAAAAAACAAGTGAATGGGCTGAGGGCCTGTACAACCTCCTGCCTTTAGATGTTGCAGGCCCGCTCTGTCCCCTCAGCCCGGCGAACACCCACCAAGCTCTAAAGGGAAAAACCTTCTCACTAACCATGGGATGACCTCAAAGCATCATCCCCCTCAGCAACCCTAAGTTGACAGAGGGAAAATGTCACAGCACTGCAACCATTTTCTCTTTCTCTTTCAACATTCATTCTTTTGTACTCAGGATACAAAAAAAAAAAGAAAACCTGGTTTGTGCCACTCCCTTCAAAAAGCTCTGTAAACTTTGGGACATGGCATATTATTTGATTCTTAGCCTTAGTGACCTCTCCAGGCACCAAAACTGAAACCCGGCCCATTTTAATGTTCTGTTACAACAGTAATTAATACTGTCACTCTTTTTTATTCCTTTCCAACTCAAACTTCAGGTTTTGTTAATTTTCACTCTTCCAAGGTTTATATAGCTTATATTTGCCTGTAATTATAGTTCCCACAATAAAAGAAACATTTTTTACTTCAAAAGAAAAACAACTGAGGGCTGGGATTGTGGCTCAGCGGTAGAGCGGTCACCTAGCACGGGCAGGACCCGGGTTCGATCCTCAGCACCACATAAAAATAAAAGCATTGTGTTGTGTCCATCTACACCTAAAAAATAAATATTTAAAAAATAAAAAAAGAAAAATAACTGAAATGAGCTAATAAAACACATTCCACAGATAACTATGCACACTCACTAAGACTAAATGTACCCAGGACCAAACAGAAAAGACCCTCCCAAGAAAAGAGGGTAAACAATGAAAAACTTGGAAAGAAAAAAAGTATAGGCAAATAAAATGTTAGGAATAAATCTCTTGTCATTTAAAAGCTAAGGGAAGGGAAAAGGAACTAAGAAAATAGTACTTTTTTTTGGTACCAGGGATTGAACTGAGCGGTGCTTAACTACTGAGCCACATCCCCAGCCCATTTTATTTTTTATTTTGAGACAGGGTCTCAATGAATTGCTTAGGGCCTTGCAATCCTCCTGCCTCAGACTCCTAAGTCAATTATAGGCACACACCATTGTATTCAGAGAAAACAGTACTCTTGAAGGAGTGCCACTGGAACCATAAAAGGCTACTTCTAACACTGACTCTGGTCACCCAGGCCAAGGCACACACCACCTAACTTAACTACAAAATGAACAAAAATGGATATGAGAAAATAGTTGAGAGTACTGTTTTGCAATAAATAAATCCCAGAAAATTTGAAGTTCTTTTACTACCACTGTTCATCCCTTATGCTCTACCTTGAAATCACACATTTCTAAAAATATAATTTAACAACATACTAGAATCTCAGACTCCCTACTACCAGTAGAATTCATGTATTTAAGACTTCCTTTCCATGAATGCAAAATTAATTATGGTTGTTTAACTCCATGATCAAAGTTGAACTCATCTTTCTCCCACTCAAATTAACTCTCCTCCACACAAAGTTATTCCTGTTGATTTCTCAAGGTCAAAATATTGGAACCAGGGCTGGGTTGTGGCTCAGTGGTAGAGCACTTGCCTAGAACACGTGAGGCACTGGGGTTCGATCCTCAGCACCACATAAAAATAGTTATTCAAAAATATATTGTAACCATCTTAATTTTTTCTTCTATTCTCTCAAAGGTATTCTGAGAGGAAATTTTCCAATAAAAATTTCTAGAGAAAAAAAGTGTTATTAGCTACAAAGTTCAAAAAAACAAGTGGAAAAAAAAAAATACCTTAGGAGTTACTAAACATCTCCATCAAGCAAAGCATTTTGCATATTCAGATTATCTGTTCAGAATCATGCATAATACTTCTTAGAATTCAATTGAAACCTCGTACCTCGCCAAAAAAGATTTTCCTGATCCCGGAAGGCCTCTGAGAAGAACAAGAACTAGTCCAACATATGATGTTGTCTTCTTTCTTACAACTTGAGAAACCGGAGTTTCTTGTACTTGATAAGCACTTGTTCCCTCTTTGTTTCTCCATACCTTTGTTGGGGAAGTGTGAGAAATGATTGAGGGTGGAAATGTGTAGTTGACGGGTCTCCAGTGTGCAGCTGTGGTTACAACAGGAGCCACAAACCCATGGCTTCCTTGAAAGAGGTCAAAAGCAGGAATCATTGGATTCCACATTGGTGGAGGTGGAGGAGGAGGAAGCAGTAAAGGGAGAGGGGTAAGTACTGGGCAGTAATTCATATCCTTCCCCTTTGGTGGTAGTTCAGTATGTTTGTGTGGCTTGAAATTGAACCCTTCAGAAGGTACAAAAATATCAGAGACAGAAGTAGACCTCTGATTCCCACCAGTATCTGGCAAATCACACCCTGAATTTTGCACAGGAAGGTTTAAAGAAGCTTGAGGTTCATTAGCATCCAAATTTACAGAGGCTTCGGAAAGTTGAGCCTCAACACGCTCAGATTCTAAAAACTCGCTCTGTCTCTGATTGAGATTACTACAACCCATGATAGAGTCATTTGTTGGATTTAAAGAACTACTGAGATGAGAATCTTCTTGGTAATCATCTTCCAAAGCCAAAGTGTTATCCTTTATAAAACTTCTGGACCCATTCAAAACTGAATGTGAAGTTAATGGGTTTGAACTTACTGTAGAGACAGAATTTTCTAAATTCTCACTGTTGGAATCCATATTTTGCATAGAATGGATAGGAGTCGTATTACTTGAATGTGAATTTATAAACTTACTTGGGTCATTAAAACTATTAACATCTTGCAAAGGCAAAAATGAGTATACTTGGTCATCAGGAGAAGAGTTCAATTTCTCAAAAGCATTCTGTATTAAGGAATCCAAGTCTTCAGTCAGCTGCATATCCAGAAATGAATCCATCTTCGAATCTTCACTCTCTTCTTCAAGAGGACACTTCTCCATTATTTCACTTCCTGTTTCAACTGGCTGGTTCTCAGAAGCAACAAAGTTTTGTGCAGATGATCCTTCTATCTTGGCATCAGAGGCAGACAATTCTAATAGACAATCCATGGCATTTTCAACTGTACAACAAGAACAACAACAATAACAACAAAAAAATACATATAGATGTTGAAAAAGTAAGACATGACTTTATTAAAATCCAAGGAAAATACTGGATTTTGCCTTGAAAGGAATATAGAGAAATTTATATATATATTCAAGTCATCTTTTAGAAATTAATTTTTTACTAATATAACAAAGACTGCATTACTGAAGAAGTTTTAATAATGGAGACATGCAATGCTGTTCTTTCAGACAAATAATAAACTATCATCCAGTATATAGTCTTCAATTAAGTTGTTGAGTAAAAGTATAAATATGCGGAATAGTATGTATTAGGGTTATTTATAAAGGTCCTAAATTCAGTTGATTTATTCAACAATTACCTATTGCATGTTATTTTAAGTATTGCATATTTAAGTACATATTCTAGTAAGTCTAATTTATAAAGACCATACTACAAATTTCACTTAATACAAAAAAATTTTTATGATCATGTACTACATATCAGAAATACTTTTTAAAAAAACAAATAAGAGTCTTTACTACTTCAAAGGATTTTGCAGTTTAATGGAGATTGAGGACAATTACATTAGAAAATAATTATATCATACTATAAATTAAATAATGCATCGTTTTGAGAGTGTACAAATGCCACAGCAGTGTTCAGGAAAGTAAGGAAAGATTTTACATAAAGGGATATGTAAACTGGCACTTGAAGATTAAAAAGCAGTTTGCAAAATGGGAGGAAAAGGTAAGCCAAGGTTGAAAATACAAAGCATGTTTAAAGTATTGAGAGAAGTTGGTTGGAGAGAGTGAGTACTCAGCAATATGTATGGTGGAAAAGAAAAGAAGATAAAACTGCAAAGGGAGATGGGATAAAATTGAGAAGGGTCTTATATGGCATGCTAAGAAATATTAATTTTATTTTTTAAGGGAACTTGAAAAGAAACTGATAGTCATAGCATTTGGGCTAGAAGTTTTATACAAATCACCTCACTGAATCCTCGAAGAATACTATGAGGTATATGAAGACATCTATGGAAATAGATGAAGACAATGAAGCTCAAAAAAGTATACCAACTCGGCTCAAGTCACACAAATAGTAAGTGACAGAGCCAGGACTGGTGTGTCTGACTCCAATGCTGAGCTCTTTTTGTAATAACAAATGAGCAACCATTAGAATTTTTAAGTATTTAGGAATGGGGATGTAGGTCATGGTAGAACACTTGTTTAGATGCATTAAACTCTGGATTTGATTCCCAGCACCACAAGAAAAACTTTTAAGCATCTAAAATTTGGGGTTTGTTTTTGTTTTTGGGGTTTTTTTTGTTTTGTTTTGTTTTTTCCTTGATTTGTTTTAAAGAAGATTAATGTGGAAATGGCACAGCACAGCAGGTAACAGCTCTGGTCTGGAGTCAGAACACCGGCATTTAAATTCCTACTTGCTGGCTACATCACTTTGAACAAGTAATTAGCTTCCCTAAGCCTCAAGTTTCTCATTTGTAATATTGGGATAATAAAAGTACCTACCTCATAGGTTGTTGTGAGGACTAAATGAGATAATCCATGAAAAAGTGCTGTGCACAAGGACTGGCACCTAGTAAGCACCCAATTAATGTTCCCTTAAGAAGAAAAACAAAGAGGGATTGGAGGGGGCAAACCTGGCAGAAGGATCAATCAGGAAATCACATTAATACTACAAAGGCAAGAAGCCCTAAAAATGGAAAAAAGGGAAAAAAAAAAAAAAAAGAAAGAAAGAAAAAGAAAGCAAATATAAGAGGTATTTCTATGAAAAAAATCTACATGATAGAAAAACCAGAAAAGATCAACTTAAAAAACTAGCATGTATATAACAACAACAACAAAAAAAAGACAGCATTAAGTAAAAAGAAATACAAGACCAACATAGATCATTATCAAACAAAAAGAAAAGTCTTAAACAGAGTGTTGGAAAAAATTTAAACTATAGTAGAAAAACAAACAAAAATATGAATGGACAATAAATATAAGAATATAAGAATTAATGAAAAGTCATCTATAAAAATGTTTACTATTTCTCTTTATTAAAAAAACACAAATTAAGGTACAATGTATTACTATTAAAATCTTAAAACAATTCTACATAATGCTGAAGAGGCTGTGGTGAAAGGGCTACACTTATTCAGTGCCAGTGGTATTACAAACCTGCATACCTCATTGGTGGGCAATTTAAGCAGTGTATTTCCAAGGGCCGAAAACTGCTCTTACCCTGTGACGCAGAAAACAAAACTTTGGGACTAAGAAAAAAAAGCCAAAAGAAAGAAAGAGGCTATTTTTACCAAGGTGTTCTTCACAATGTTAATTATTCATGAGAAACTTAGATAAATAAGTTACAGCACAATTCCTCACTGGAGTACTGGAAAACTGCTGAAAATAAACAAAAGGTTGTAGAACACTGAAAAACTGTTTATGTCATATTAAGTTTAAAAAGCAGAATATAAAATGTCATCAATGCTATTATTCAAACTACTGAACATATCAAATGTTTATAACAAGGTCCTCAGAAGATCCTGAAAAAGAGAAATAAGTTATTTGTTAAGACATAGGATAATATAGTTTTCTTATGGTTTCCTGCTCCTATGTTAATGTATATTCAACAAATTTTAAAGACACCAAAATTAGGAAATAAATGTTAAAGTCACTTACAAAACTACACACCATCATTTCTGAGCACCAAGTGTGTTGTAGAAACCTGGTTTTCTGCACACATACCAAAACAGAATAGGTAAAATATGCTCACATCACAGTTCACACAATGACTGAAAATGGAAGTATATCATGTATTATCAAAACCTTCAAATCTTCATTTTATACTAATCATGGTCAATAACAATACTAAATATCATCAAGTAATTTATTCATCCAGTCAACTTTATACAGTCCCTCAGTCTGCAAACATACTTCTAAACAATTTATTACAAGTTATTAATAATTTACTAAGACTTCACCAAAAAAAAGAAAAAAAAACTCAGTCCTCAACCAAAAAGTCCTATAAGATATATGCTATTATTTTTTTATTAACAGATTAGAAAACAAAAGACTTAAGAGAGGTCAGCAGAACTGAAATGCAACCCAGGCCTCTTGAGTCCAAAGCCAATGTTCTGAAACAACACTACTTGCCTCAATTCTTATTATTCAGCTCTTATTTCTGTAATTATAAAAAATTACCTAGTCACTCAATAAATATCTGCTAACTTCTATTATGGGTCATTTGCTATTTCAGGGGTTAGGAATATAGAAGAAAAATTAAAAGTTTTTAAAATCTCTGTCTTCATGGAGCTTACATTCTAAGACACTGGCTCTCAACCACATATAATTTTGTCTACCAGGGGACAAATGACAAAATAGGGAAATATTTGTGATTGTCACAACTAGGGGTTGGGGTGCTATTGGCATCTAGTGAGTATAGGCTAGGGATGCTACTAAACACCCTATAATACACAGCAGAACCATTTACAATGAAGAATTATCCAGTCCAAAATGTCAACAGTGCCGACCTGTTCTAAAGGAAAGATAAAAAAATAAAATGAAGAATGATATCTATACATGCATCTTACATCTAGAACTGTGCATTTCTTAAGAGGAGAAATTTTGCTTTATTCTTCTTCATATTCCTCACAATACCAAACGTAGTACCTTGCCCATGGCAGGTGCTTAGAAAATGATGAACAAAAGGGAAATAGGACAGTTACTTTACTATATTACTACCGATCATGGCATATATATGAAGTCTTCTTATAAGACGCAAAGGGTTCAAACTGAACTTTTTCTCACCTTTGAAATCACATTCAGAAAGCATCAAATACACTACATCAGGATCCAGATCAGAAAACATCTCTGAGATACTGGTGAAGAGTTCTTCCTGATCAGTGTTTGTCTCACACACGGAAGGAAGGGTAGTGGTTGACTCCTCATGACTAGCAAGACTGGATACGACAACTTCCTTAGAGTTTGCAGTCTTCTGAATAGGATTTCCCCCAAGATTTTTCCTTTTCCTTGGCATTCTGACTTCCAAAACTAAAATTTTTCCCTTTTTTAAAAAAATTTAAGATGTTTGATATTAAATCATAATTCAAAGAAAATAGCGTTAAAAATCTTGCACAATCCAGTGGTAATAGGACCTAAAATAGAAAGCAAGTAAAAACACTCAGGCTATGTAGTTATATTTCTAAAACTGGAATGACATTATTATTTATGCTAAGAAAGTACCAGACTCTGGCAGCAAAGCCAAAAAATAGTCGAACAATTTCTCTGTCCAAAATATTCCAGTGTTTCCAGAATTGAACATGTTAAATAAAAATTAAGATATTAACAAACGTAATGTATTTCAGAACAGTGAATACACTGTGTGAAACACAGTGACTACACTGTTTTAATACCATTATTTCATTTTAAACACATAAAACAGCATCCATAAATACAATTATGATGCCTATTGAAACTACACTCAGATGTCTAATAGGCATCATAAACATGTCCAAAACTGAGTTCCTAATCAAACCCTTTGAACCTGTTCTTCCCAGTCTTTCCCATCTCTGTTAATGTAACTCTATCCTTCTCATGTCATAAATCTTGGAATCATCTTTGACTCTTCTCATCCCACATCCAACTGGTAAGCCAATTTTGCCAGATACAACCCACAAAATGTATCCAGGATGTGATCATTCTTTACCATCTCCACTGCTACCACCCTAGATTCAGCTATCTCAGACTCTCCCCTGGATTAATCAGACAAATCAATCTCCCTGCTTCCACTCTTGTCCCTTCAGTCTACTTAGCACAGCAGGCAGAGTGGCTCAATTAAACCCTAGGCTGGATCATACCCCTTTTCTCCTATACTATCCACCAGCCTCCTGTCTCAAGATGAAAGCAAAAGCCCTTAAAATGGCCTTAACCCAGACACTTGTTACCTCTGTACTGTCATCTCCAGATCCTCCTTCCCTTGCTCATGCAATTCCAGACACACTTAGCATCCTTGCTTTTCTTCAAACACATCAGCCATGCTCCCAAACAGGAACATTTACACCTTGGTTCCTAATATCTGAACTACTTTTTACCCCGGTACTTTTAAGATATATTTCCTCACCACCTTCTTATCATTACTCAAATGTTACCACCTCAGAAACTCAAGTCCTCTAATTCCTCCTCTTGTTGATTTTTTTTTTGCCTAAGACTTATCTTCTAACATGGCATATGTTCTATTAATACTGTGTTTACTATCCACAATCCAGTAAAGTGTAAGCTCCACAGGGCAGTGACTCATGTATTGGGAATAAAACTACAGAGAATTTACTTGTTTTCTCTCCTTGGATGTAGTCAATAAACACTTCAGATTTAACATATTTTCCCCAAAATCCACTCTAACTATCTGGTCTAACTACCATCATCTACCATTTTTGTCTCCTAACTAGTTAGGACTCTTGTCCTAACTGGTTAGCACCCTTGTCCCCTAAAGTCTATTTTCAACATACCTGCCAGAATGATCTTTAGACAACCTAAGTCTAATTGAATCAGGATCTGTTTTAAATTCAAGTTGTTCTCCATGTCACTTGGAGTAAAAGCTAAAGTTCTTTCAATGGCTTACCTCCCTGCTGACTCTTAATTTACTCTTCCCCAGACATTTGCATTACTAACTCCCATACTTCCTTCAAGTCTCTGTTCTAGTATCATATTCAATGATTTTTTTCTAATTGTCCAATTGAAAATCAAATACCCCACTCCCTCTGCCCCAATCTCCTCCCTTCCTGCTGACCACCCATTGCCCTTGTCACCTTCTAACATACTATAAAATTTACCTTTTAATTAAATTTGTGTCATAGGCTCTCCACCTTCCAGAATTGCACTGTCAATATGGCAGCCACCAGCCACATGTGCCTATTTAAATTTAAATTAATTAAAATTAAATAAAATTACACTTTTATATCTTAGATATAAGTAGAATGCAAAGAAATTACCAGAGACAGAAAAAAGAGTAGGTAAATAATGATAAAGGATCAATCCACCAGGAAGACATAGCAAGCCTAAATGTCCACATACTTAATAAGAGAGCTACCAAACAGATAAAGAAAAAAACTGATAGAACTGGAAAAAAAAAAAAGACAAATTCAATACTGCTCCAGTAACAATTTACACAATTAGACAGAAAATCCCAAAGATACAGAATTCAACAATACCAACAATTAAGAAATCTAATCAACATTTCTAGAACATTCCACCCAACAACAGCAGAATATAAATTCTTTTCAAATGCCCACAGAACAACTACCAAGGCAAACCATAACTAAGCTACATAACAAATCTTACCAAATTTAAAAGAACTGAAAACATACAATTTGTTCTCCACATAGAATCAAACTAGAAATCAACAAGTCAAAGGATAACAGAAAAATCTCCAATTTGGAAACTAATATTCTTCTAAATAATCCATGGATCAAAGATGAGGTGTAAAGAAAAAATTTTAAATACACTGAACTGAATGAAAATGAAAATATATTATATTGAAATTTGCAGCACACAGCTAAAGCAGTGATGAAGGGAAATGTATAGTGCTAAATGCATACGTTGGAAAAGAAGAAACACCTCAAATCAACAGATATGCCCCCGTCACAAGAACCTAGAAAAAATAGAAGGAAATGAAAAGATAGCAACGAAAACAAGAGAACAACAGAGAAAATCAAATTTTAGAAGTACAAACTAGTTAATTAAAATAAATACAATCCACAACCCTCTAGCTAAAAGAGAGAAAACACAAATTATCAATATTAGGGTTAAAAATGGAATATCATTACAGACCCTGAAGATATCAGTAGACTAGTAAACTACAAACATTTATACACACAGAAGACCAGTCTACCGTAACACACTCAATAGATAAAAGACTTATAATTTACCAGGCGTGGTGACACATGCCTATAATCCCAGGAGCTCAGGAGGCTGAGGCAGGAGGATCATAAGTTCAAATCCAGCCTCAGTAACTTAGCAAGGCCTTAAGCAATTTAGTGAGACCCTGACTCCTAATAAAAAATAAAAATGGGCTGGGGATATGACTCAGGGGTCAAGCAGTCCTGGTTCAATCCCTGGTACCAAAAAAGAAGGGGGGGAAAAAAACAACCTATAATTTTTAGTTAAATTTAATTCACAATTTTAAAACTAAATACATACACACACACACACACACACACACACATCTCAGTATTAAATGAAGAACTCTTAACAAACATTTTTAAGAAAACTCAACATGATTTCTACACAATCTCTCCTAGGAAATAAGAGGAAGGAACACTTTCAATTCATTTTATGAAGTTAGAACTATCCTGATACCAAAACCAGAGGCTGGGGATGTAACTTAGTGGTACAGCTTGCCCTGCACACCTGAGGTCCTGGGTTTGATCCCCAGCAATATCAAAAAGAAAAAGCCAAAACCAGACAAAGTCAAAAAAATACATACCAACTTCCCTCATAAATGTAGATACAAAATCGTTAAGAAAACATTAGCAAATAAAAGTCAGCAATATGTTTTAAAAAATTATATACCATGAAGTTTATTCCAAAGATGCAAAGCTGGTTCAATATTTAAAAATTAGTGTAATCTACAATATTAACAGGTTAAAGAATAAAAATTAAACTATATCAATCAATATTGGAAAAAGTCTGACAAAAATCAACACTCATTCATAATTTTTAAAAAACCTACCAGAAAAAAAAAAAAAAACAGAAATAGAGGAGCACTTCCTCAACTTGATAAATAACATCTACAAAAAACCTACAGTTGGCTGGGTGGCCAACCGTAGTAGTATGGTGGCCCATGCCTATAATCCCTGCTATGGTAAATGAGGCAGGAGGATAGCAAGTTCAAGGTGAGGCTGAATAACTTAGCAAAACCCTACCTCAAAATAAATTTTTTAAAAAGTTTGGAGATTTAGCTCAGGGGTAAAGGGATTGCCTAGTTTATGCAAGGTCCTGGGTTTGATCCCCAATACCATCATCCACCAAAAAATTTAAAAAAAAAATAAATTTAAAACCCTAGAGTTAACATTATATCTAGTGATAAAATACTAAATGCTTTCCTCCTAAAAATCAGGAACATAGTAAGAATATTCACTCTTACCACTTTTATTCAATATATTGCTAGAAGTTCTAGCTTGTAAAATAAGGTATAAAAAAAAAAAAAGAAAAGAAGCATATATAGATCAGAAAAGAAGGAATGAATCTGTCCCTAATAAGAGATGATGTGGTCATTGAGGAATCTACAAAATATCCAACAAATAAGTTTAGCAAGGATGCAAGACAAAAAGAAAGAACACAAAAAATACAACAGTTACCTCTCCTAGCAATGTACATGGTTGCAGAATATTCACAGTCACTCCAAAAAACTATGAAATACTTAAGTACAAATCTAACAAAAGAAATGCAGAACTTTTATGCTGAAAATTACAAAACAGGGATGAAAAAAAAAACAAAGATCTAAATTCATGGCAAGACAGCATGTTCATCGACTGAAATGCTCAACATGGCAAAGATGTCAATTCTTCCCATATTCATATACAGGTTTAACACAATTTCTATCAAAACTCAAGCAAGACTTTTTTTTTTACAAACAGACAAGATTATTCTAAAATTTATAAGAAAAAGGAACTACAGCTAGAATAATTTTGAAAAAGAATAGAGTGGGAAGGGATCAATCAACCTTATTTCAAGAGTTCATAAACAGCTACAATAATCAAGTCTGTATGGTATCAGCAGAGTAACAAATCTGGGAATAGAATAGAAAACCCCAAAACGGCCAACATATATATGCCCAACTGGTTTTTGATGAAGGTGCAAAAGAAATTCAATGGAAAATATACAGCCTTTTCAATAAATGATACTGGAACAAGCAGACACTTAGAGGCAAAAAATATAAAGCTTAACCTAAGTCTCACACTTTACAGAATAATTAACTCAAAATAGATCACAGATTTAAATGTAAGAAATAGTGGGGTGCTGTGGCGCATGCCTATAATCCCAACCACTGGGAGAATCAGGCAGGAGGATCACAAGTTTGAGGCCAGCCTCAGTAATTTAATGAGATCTTACATCGAAATAAAAAAATAAAAAAGGCTGGGAGACTGTAGCTCAGTGG